AAAAAAAAAAAAAAAAAAAACGGAAACAAACCATAGGGACCTCGAAATCAGCAGGTGTGATGCACGAATACAAATGCGGCTGCTCAGACTTCGCCGTCTGCACTGCCACGGCCCAGTTCTCCATGAAATAGGTACATCTACATATGACGACCTCTGGCGCTGCGTCCTTCAAGATCGTCTCAGCGATATGGTTTGTCATGATTTCCCCCTAGTCGCATCTTTAGTTACTTCCCTTTCTTTGTCACAAATGAACTGAAAAGAAACCCACAGTCCCCGACTCATGCTCAGCTCCCATACTAGAAAGCAGAACCAGACGCTTAACAGATCCCGATTTCTGAATGGCTAGGCGCGTATTCTCCGATGCTGTCCTTGCACAAGCCAGAATGTCCGAACCATCGTATCGCGGAGGGGTGATTGCCAGAACGGCGTCGACGCCGGTGAGATCCAGGCTCGTTGCGTCGCTTACATCGCCCTTGACTGCTTGGAAATGAGGGTTGGAAAGGAACTCTTCCGATACTCGAGCGAGATCCCTGTATACGCCTTTCACGCTGATAGGTTTGGTGGTTTGGGTGGAGTTGAGTAGGGCGCGGATTGCCGCCTGGCCTGTTTTGGGTGAAGCGGGGACTACGGCGATGAGCATTTTGCTTGTGGAGTGTGTACACGATTGTTGTATAAGTTAGTTGATTCGTTATCAGACTTAGCCTAGAGGGGAGAATATTAAAGGTGATATGGTATGATCTAAAATTCTAAACTGCAGTAGAGTCATCGCCTGCCTCGTATTTGAAGTTCGAACTGCGGGGCAGGTCACAGTCTCCTTGGTTATGATGAAACTTTATTGATTCAGACGTACTTCGGATTATTGTTATTTCGACTTCGCATTAGTGATGTAAAATGTAACAATATCTGGTTAGCTGAAGCCATATTCCCTGGTAGACAGGGTTTGAGGAAGCCAAACAAGTTTACCACACCCTTTTCCATTTCTGACGACATGGATCAGTCTTCTCAGTAACCCTCGACCGCAAGGAAAAGTGAGGCTGATCATAAATCGGTAGCTGGGTCGTATGATCTGACGGATGGCTCGATCCTCCACGTACTAAGTAGTATATGAGATTGCGTGGAATCTTGGAAGTCTCTATAGAACCAGACGTTCCGCTTTCGTTCATATGTCAACTCCTGACGCAAACCCTATCTGAAGAAGGCTAGCGACCGAAAGGAAAAAAAAAAAAAAAAAAGAAAAAGAAAAAGAAAAGGAAATGATATTATGAACAACAAGAACGCCGAACACTCTATTACATGTATATGAGAACTTTTGAAACCCGAAAAGGCCATGAATGCACATCATAAAGCAATTTGAAACCGAGGATGAGTCCGAATAAACTCTCCGTATTTCCAAAACAGCAACGGGCAGGCACACATCGCGAGCGCAATAAATGCTAACAATGAGTTCCCCCATCCCAGACCCAGCGCCTCATACATGGATGGACCAGCCAGCGGGAGCACAGCGCCGATTAACGAACGCAGCACCGTGGCAGCAGCCGTGACAGACGCGGCATGCCTCAAGTACGAATCCACCAAGTACGTATTCGACGCCATAAACACGACCATAAGGCCGATCGCAAAGACGCCCGTTCCGAGAATTGGCACAATCCAGTGAGTATGGGCCTGTGCCGACCAGCCGTACCAAAACAAGCCGGCTGGAATTGCCCAACTTCCGAATAGCATGGGGGGAAGACGCGATTCCGGTTTGAAACAGCCGCGTGCGGTGTGACTAACAGCGATACGGTTGGAAACCACACCACAGATCCCCAGACCCATAATACTTCCGATCCCGAAGCCCAGGTAGGCGAGGCCGGCCAGACCAGATGAGAAGCCGTAGGTGTTTCTGAAGATCGGGGTCAAAGTGGTGAACATCAAGTATAGGTACCCGTACGTGACAGCCGCGAACAGGGAAAGCAGGAATACAATCGGCGAACGGAAGAGAAGTTTCATAGGTCGTGCCAGCGCGGTTATGAATAGCTCTTTGGTAATCTTGGTGTCGCCACGGGCCGAGCGAAGATTGGGGTTGCCGGTCTCTTTGCGCAGTCGCTCAGTCTTACGTCGTAGAAGCACTGGGGCATACGATTCACGATAGGATAACAGACACCCGATCGTCATGACACCGGTCTAGATTATCAGCATCACACTCTATCAGTAAGTGACAGACAGTAGAGCTACCTACCGCGATCGCAAGCACCCAAAACACCCATCGCCAGCCCACTGATTCGGCTAGGAACCCACCTGCAATGGGTCCAACAACGGGTCCCAAGATAGGCCCTAGAGCCCAGATCGCCATAATACCAGCTCTCTTTTCCACTGGCACCATGTCGGCGACCGTCCCGGAGCCGATAGTGATGGGACAAACGCCAGCGATACCTGCGAATAAACGGAACACAATCAATTGAGGCAAGGTTTGTGCCACTGCACAAGCAATGGTGAACACCAGGAAGATCACATTGCAAGCGTGGTATAGCGGAACACGGCCATATATCTCTGACAGGGGCGCGATGAGGAAGGGCCCTAGCATGTAGCCCAAGATGTAGACGGAAACAACAAATGATCCCAACATTTGGTCGGTGGTGTGGAAGTCGCGCATGACATATTGGACGCCTGGGGCGAACATGGACGATGCTAGAGGGCTATTCTCCGTCAGCTCTAATCCCCTGTCCTTATCACTTTGCTTTATATGCACTCACCTGACAAAAGTATTGAATGCCATGAATACTAACTGCCGCGCCTTCTTCGGAGTCGACCAGTTAAAGGGGTTCTCGGGGTCGTCGGGTCCATCCCAGTCGACCACAGTCATATCATCCTCTTTCGGCACATTTTCAAAGTCGTTGTACCCTTCTGAGCTTCTGTTTGACTCCTCCGCCTTGCCCCCCTTCTCAAGAACACTGGGTGTAGGCTCTGTCATGAGGCTTGGATCCAGGTTTTTTTTACCCGACGGCTGGCCGTAGTAGAGGGTTACACGGCAAGTGCATATTGCTAAGGGCGCCGAAACGGAGGATCAGCCGCTTATATACGGGGCTTTGGGCACAATGCATGGTAGTTTCCCTGCTCTAAATCGTATTGACCCTGGTCCTTAAAAAGAAATCTAAAGACCCAGGTATCTAATCGGCCACCAATCACATCGCCGAGCTAGCTGAGCCAAGGCGTCGGGCTAATGCTTTGCCCACTTGGTGTAAGACTGGAGGACGCCTCCATTGTGAATTCGTCCTGGTGTGACCAGACTATGCAGAATTATGCTCATCTGACTCCCCCTTTTATCCCAGAATTATGTAGCTTATGCTCCAAATTTCGGCAAGTGGGCCTTACCCCATGGCATCGGATAAAAGTTTTTCTGTTCTGCTGGTCTTCGTATCGCGTATCCTCCTTATTCTCCTGCCCCTTTCGGACAGTCGATGTGAGGGTACTATTTCTAAAGCCCTAACACGGAGACCTCCGAACTGGCTAGGGGATTTCACTTCATAATAAAAAAGACAGCTATTAATTCAAATGTATATCGCAAAGTTCTACTTTGATGAGCATTACCACCGTTCTCTCGCCTAATCATTTTCGATTCCTGAGAGTATTGATTTACACGACTATGCTAAACAACGATATCCCAGTCTGTGCTCCCTGCAAACCGTTGCGTCCAGGCCTGAGGACCTCGACACTTTACCGCGTTAATCAAATCTTTCTCACTTGCATATCTTGTGTCAACGGTGGGTTTGCAAGCGTCCTCTCCTGATGTCATATGCACACCCTACGACAACCAATTCGTATCAGATTTTGGGGGAGATAATACCTAGTTCACGTGGCTGCTCAGCAAGAGCAATATAAATTGTATTCATTTCCTGAGGCACAGAGGTACTTTCTCGAACTTTGCGGAGCTGACCGACAAACGTCGAGCCATTATTGTCGCTATGTGTATTCAAACGCTAGCTGCATTCGGATAATGGGTGACCTTACAAGCAAGGAAAACTGACCAACTATAAGAAAAGATCGCAAGGGTGAAGCGAAATATATGACGTCTGCTTGGGAATACGACTACGGAAGTTAGACAAGTCTTTGTTTTCGCTGCAGTTGCATCAGGATTCTGTCATTCCATAACTCTCGGCTTATATATATACCGTCGAAAATATAAAAAAACGAAGAAGTGATGGAGATCCTAAGAACCACAGGTTACTACCTATTGCCTGCTAGATAGCATGGATCCCTACATAGCGCGAACTATATAGCACAGGTTTAGCATGACAAATTAATTTACTTAGATCGAAGTGATAAATGTCTCTAGCACTGTGTCCCGAAATTCACGGTCAATGTCTTTGTCCACAGACCCAATTTCTCGGGTTACTGGTTCCCAGTAAACTACCGTCCCTTGGACATTGTTCCAGTTGACCCCATCGGCCAGAGTCTACCGTCACATATGTCAAGTGGCCACCAGACAGCAACCGGCCGTACCACCTATCTGGCAGTCATTGAGATGACAAAACGGTTAAGTTCTGGTTTGTTGAATTAGAATCTGGCTATAAAATTATAAAGGAATAGGCTAGAACTCACACTCAGTAGGCCGAGTCAGCGTGAACACGGTCTTCTCACCAGCCGGCACATCCAGAACCAAATGAATCGTCTTATCGGACGACTCAGCAACGAACAAGACCCCTGACTCATCCGCAATCTGGTATAAGTCCGTACCCCGCTTAATTGGCTCGAAAATCTGAGGGTTGGGGGACGTGGTGCAGGGAGTTCCGCTGTCGTCGCAGTTGAGGTAATCTCCTGAACCTTGGTTTTGGATAACGACGGTGTCGGGGCCGACGGTGCTGAAGCCCCAAATCTGGTCATTTGCGCCATCGGCTGGGCCGAAGATCACCTGGCTATTATTTGCAGTCAAGGCATTGCCGCTTTCTGTGACGACGTAGTTTCCTGTTGCGGATTGGGTGAGTGCTTGGCCACCTAGGGCAATCAGAGCGACGATAGAGAAGGAGAACTGCATAGCGGTGGATTCGGGAGGGTAAAGAAGAATGGTGGTTGAAATTAGATAATGATTAGGCAAAGAAACGGTTTTATTTTCTAATTGACGCAGATGGATCGAGGAAGGAGAACAATATCTGCCACAGAGATCCTCATGTAATTTATAGATTTCTTCCTGATATAAAACCCATGGCTCTACTAGGGTGCCGGCGAATCATTTGTGTGATAGTGGAATCTAGGGGTTGTGCATTTTTGTATTGGAATGATTGGATGCAAATAAACTAAATGCCGATCTGTTTAAATTTATCACTTACACGAGAGCTCAGCTGAGAATCGATACTGCAGATTTACTTGAAGAGAGTTCGATAGTGATGAGATAGTCCGTATTATTGCTTTTTTCCAAGTTACTCACTGCACAGACTAGTAGGTAGGCGCAGCTAAAGTGACAACTCATAAAAGTCATGTCATTTGAAATATTTCCTCGCACTCCAACACCATTCCTCCACCATTTTCCATTCCAGAATGCCGGGCGACAGCTGAACTGGGTGAGTGGACCTGGGAATAATAAATACGAGTAGCTACCAGTAACTTGGGGTCCAACTAAATTCAGCTCGGGCTTTTCCATAGGGGCACTGTGTTCAGCGCTGTCAAAATCTGTCCTATTAATCCAACTGCACCTCGCTTATCCCCATCTAGGTCCTGGTTACCTCAGTTTCGCTTTCACATTCCGAGCGAATATCATGTCAAGGGCGACCACTTGGCTGCAGACGTACACTTTGGTTTGAGAGAAAAGAAACTAGTAACATAATTGTCGGGTTAAGCTTTGCAATGCTTGATGCCAACCGGCTAAGCATAAGAGTTAGCGGCATTAAGCATGCTACTCAATCAATCCGAGCTTGGTGATATCTTCTCTCCTTTCTATCGACTTTTCAAGCATATTCTCGGTAAACAGAAGGGGCTTACGGAGTACATTCAAAGCCATCTTAGTGGGGTACTTTGGTGCACCGCGCGCGGCAAGACATTCGAGTACGTATCTCTCACTTCGGACGTAAATGGTCGGCTTGGCATCTCGGAGATGGATGGTTATTGTGCCATATCTTAACATTTCGCGCACCTCGTGAATTCATGCAATCGGAGATAATTTGTACATTGAATAAAAGTCTTTTTGACCGTTCTTTTTCTTCCTTGTTTTTCCTTCCACCCTTCCTGGATATAGCTACGCCTTCCGACCAGACACCATACGCATTTCCGGTACGTAGCCCTTTTCTTTCATCTCCACCACCAGCCGGTCCAGAAAAGCGAAATATTCTTCTGGAGTCTTCGCGACGCCCGGAATCCCCTCGTCTACTCCGGTTAGCGTATATTCGTGCAAAATGCGAAAGGAAATCATACCTCCCATCAGCCTCGCCAAATGACGGAAGCTTTCTACCCACAGCTCTGCCGATGTGTCGCGGTTGGCAGGGTCTTTGACCTTAGCACCATATGGTAGAGGGTATCGGACTGTCATCACGTCTTTGAACCCAAGCTTTCTTAGCAGCGGCTCTAGTTTATCGGCGAGATGGATGTCCATGCCGTTACCCTCCGTCGCCCATACTTGCACCAACCCCAGTAGACGCTGTTGGGGATGAGTGTCCCAGTACTCTGGGCGGAGCCATTGGCACTCGACAAATTGGATAGTGCCACCGGGTTTTAATAACGCTTGCAAATTTCGTACAACTTGAGGCCACTCCTCCTTTTTCAGAGCCCATACTAGCAACCTCTGATGAATAATATCAAAAGAGCCTTCCCAGTTCCAGTCCGACGGGAAAGGCTGTCGTATGTCGTGGTAGCGAAAGTCAATATCTACGCTGTTGTTGAATAAATGGGACGCAATATCCACGCCATGGAGCTCCCAGGAATGTTCCGGATATCGCTTTGCCATGTCGTGCAACCAGATCCCTACATTGTTCAGCCTAGTCCATGATTTACAAGCTGGCTACGTACCATCCGCACACCCACTATCGAGGATACGTAGTGGGCACCCTGCTGGCGGTGGCAGAGTGAAGCCAAAATAGGTCTGATCCGAGGCGGCTGCAAAATGGCGATGCTGACGTTGGAGACGATCCGCCTCGGTGACATGGTGAGGCAAAAGATAACTGCCTTCCGTGCCCGTGAAAACCTCCGTCTGGGTGCTCATGATTTAAAAATAGGATTATATTTTTTTATTTCTTTATGATGTTAGGATCTGACCACTCTGTTGGAATCAACAGAAGGCATGCCATGTTTTACTAATGATACGGGGGAGGGGTTTCTGGTGAAAAACGTGACTTGGCTTACGCTACGGAGCTTTAGTGCATTTTATGAATTTCGGGTGGGCGATGCTCCCTCTTTAAATAGTAGTAAATTATAATCTCTCGGAGATCTGTGGTCATACCCACCTTTCTCCGGGAGATCATATTCAACTATCCTCCGCGGCCCTGGAATTGAACCACCTCGGAATACTTCACTTGTATGTCAGTTTGGCCATGCCCGAAGACCAGCAAACTCGCTCCGCGCTCATATTAGAATGGCCTGGTCTCCCCAGAGCGGCCTCTGTGCCGCTCTCACCTCTCTATGTCGAGAATTTTTTTTTTTTTCCCTACCGTTCGAACTGTACTGCATCTATGATCGATGACCATCAGGATGGCGAATACGTCCCTCTCTGAGGCCTCGATGTATAGTTGCGGGCCTCCAGGAATTTGTCAACCGGGTTCAGCTATAACACCTCCCGACCGCCGACATGGCTCACCAACAGGCTGGTCAATCCCCGCAGGAGTATATACGGCCCGCGAGCTGGTCCGACGCTTCGCGCCCTTGCTAGATACCGTTGTGCATCATCTTGGCCCTGATCCGCCAAATGCAAAGCCGGCACGCATCGTCCTGCTAGACAACGTGGCCGCCAATCTATCCACGGACATGCGAGAGTCTTCACTACCCTTGTACGATCTCTCAGACATCAGCCGCCGCGAGATTAGAGACCAAGCCCGTCGAATAGGTCAGGTACTTGTCCAGTGGGCACGCGAGTACGGCGATGAACCATATGACCCGGACCTATACCTACGCGGTCCCGGCGATGGCCATCTTCTCCTCCCGTCCAGTCTAACATTGATGTATGCCCGTTGCACCCGGCCACATCATATGCAACTTCTCAATGAATACATGCGTCAGATGGTAGTTCTACGCGACGCGCTGCTTCCCTTCCAGAACTTTTACGCGGTGCCGATCCCGGTAGATGGCCGGGCTCGCGGCATCCGTCACCTCGAAGCACCACGGGAAAGGTTTCTCACCACCGTATTCGCCGGACACATCACCCAGGCCTCTGTCGTGTCCTTAGCTCGGGCAGTGCTCGCCCCAGACCTTCCCGTCACAATGACGGGCGGCTACGGCTTTCAGTATACGCATGGTCTGATCCTCCCTGCCATCCTTGCAGGCGGGGTGGTGCCATATCACTTGTTGCGATATGTGCCCTCTAAAATGGATTCTGCAGCAATGGAGGTTCTCTTCGACTACCATTTCCCTGATTATCATGAGGCACCACGCGGAGACATACCAGCAGGGCCGCCGACGATATTAACCCGCTACCCAATTGACCTTCCGAATCAAAAAGAGGAGCTCCAGACAGCAGGCATAGGGCTTCAAGCAGGGTCCTCGACGTCGGCCGTTAGGGGCCTCGAGCTGCGTCTGGAGTTCAAAAACGGCGACACAGCAAGAGTAGATGTCGGGCAAATCGCCCGTGGACTGCGACACTCGTACGAGGCCCTCGAAGAAACACGCGACAGTACGACAAATCATACCGTTTTCCTGCACTCGGCGTCCGAGATCCTTATCCAGCCTGGATGGGGACTGAGTACATCCGACACGGCTGGGTTCCATGTCATACCAGTCGACGATCCGACCATTGCCTTGGCTCTGTTGGGGAAGTTGTACCCTCGGAACGTGATCCTCCTGCCGAATGATGAGCAACTAGGACAAACAGATGATGTCGGGGAGGACTCGGAAGCGAAGTTCGTCATCTGGGGAGGGTTTAAGAGGGGAGGACTTAAGGGTGTGTTTTAGGATGCATGACATCTTTTCCTTTACACTGTCTTTTATCCTCTTCATCCTCTTCGCATCTTCCCTCTTTGTCTTTTTCTCTCCACCTGTCATTTTACATTTATTTAGTGGCGTGCCTTACTTTTCTTGCATGTCCAGACTCTCTACCAACATTGATACCAATCATACATGGTCTAGAACCATATTATAGAATAAAACGAACACATATTATGATATCATAATCCACCTGTACGTAGCTTACCCACCATATTGCTCACTACTGAGCCAAGCCCAAAGCCAAATCCTTTACATAATCACCAATAGTAGACCCAATCCAGTCCCATAACACAGCAAACGACAAACAAAAGCCCATAAGATAAACGTATAACCCATAGCAATAGTGAATCCGGACCGGAAATGGAAGTGCGGCTTTTGCCCCCAATCACGGTGTGTTGTCGAAGAAGAGATCCTGTCCAGTATTCCTTTGTATATCGCGGAGTTGATTGGGCTTTCATACAGAAGGGTTTCTTGAGAGGAAGGGTAATCGAGAACGAGGGAAATTGAAGAGAAGATAGAGTTTACGGGTATGACCCGGAGGAAGGTAATAGAATACCATGGAGTATTTGTTGATGTTCTATAGCAGTTTGGCCCTTCTAGTCTTCACCGGGGTTAGGAGAGCTTTGACGCAGAGACTAGTAGAGAAGAATCAGTCGGCCAACAATGATCGACGGGCCGAAGACAAACGTCTGCAGCTCACCCTAATAAAGGTGTCCTATAAACGGAGTCTGTGTTTTTTTGCTGCAGGGTTTCACCCTTATTTGGATTTCGGTATGCTCTTTTGTCAATATTGGAAGAGAAGTGACAGGTTTTCAACTGTGCAATCCGTAGCCACTGCGTTGATCACATCAATGGATATTGGGAGGTTGTATCCTAGATAGTCCACAAGAAGTTGTAGGTTTTCAGGCTCGTCATTCTTAGCCGCTTCCTTGATAACATCTTTAGTGATTGGTAGACTCTCTCGATAGTGGCGAATAAGTAATTTCAAAGTTTTCCCCTTATTGCATGCCGACGCCGCTGCCTTGACCACATCTTCGGTAATTGGTAAGACTCTCTCCTCGATGTCCGATCAGTAATCCCATGATACTATGTCCATATGTTCTGTTTGCTGCCGCTACCTTAACAACACTTTCAGTAATTGGTAGACATTTTCCTTGATGTCGGATCAGTAGTCTGATAACCATAATTCCAGCTAGGGCACCGTTTGCCGCTGCTGTCTTGACCACATCCTCAGTAATTGGTAGACTCTCTCCTCGGTGTTGGATCAGCAATGACATAACAAGATATCCAGCTTCTCCAGGATTTGCTGCCGCTGCCTTAACCACATCTTCAGTGATTGGTAGACTAGGCTGATACTTAATAAGTAATGTTATGATATTATGTCCATTTTCGTGGTAGTTTGCTGCCGCTGCCTTGGCCACATCTTCAGAAAATTGGAAGTTTTCTGTCCATTGAACAACCATGCGTTCCAATGCTGAATTTTCAACCGTTCCTTTACTCTGCTCTATTAATTTTGAGGCAATGTTGCTCACTGTGAGCGACATGTTGAATAGCCTTGTTTCCGCCTCGTAAGGGTATTCTTGGTACTCCGGTGCTATATTCGTGAGTTCTACCGTACCTTGCAGCGCAATATTACTTTCTGCACCAGCCCGAGGTATCCTCCAAGTAAGGATAATATCGTAGACGAATCCACTTATAGAATGCCATTCCTGTGGTTTGAAGTCGAAAATAGTTCTGTCGTGTGGGGGGGTGATTGCAGCTACGACCGTCTCGAAATGGTCTTTGCATAGTCTGATAATACTTGGCCTCGAAGAGCCTTCTAGCAGGCAGATAATATCTGCCTTCTGGACTAATCCTTCAGGAGCTCTGGGGATCCATTGATCTATCCAGTTTAATTCATCGCCCACCCAATCAGCGGTGTGATTCAAAACGATGTTGACATACCCCTGGTAGCATCCAGAAGCTCTCGCTTCAACAGACTTAATATAACCCAATATCCATCCTTTGCCTTTTATCACTGCTATATCCCTATCAGGCCATGTTTGCACCAAACACTTCCCTCCAAAAAGGTAAGTAGTGACCTGCTTATGGACATCATTCCAAGGGAGGGCATAGTTTGGTTTTAAAGCAGGTATTTGTGGGTCATCAGCGCTCAAGCCCAGCAATGCATACACTTTATCATGTTGCAGGGTGGCATTGTGGTGTTGGTACATATCAATCAGTTCCCCTATAGAGAGGGTTCCACGCGAATCAGGCCGGTACTTTGGCCGGAGAATTGCATCTCTCATTATGTGGATGACTGGGTGGATATGGCTCAGTGAACGAGGAGAAAGGGCCTTTAATCTGCTGAAGCCTTTACAGAACATATAACCATTCATCTCGACATGACCACACATGATAGAGATACATCTTGCAACGCCAACCTCCTGAAGCACCTAGTTGTACTTGTTAATAATATACGTAGAGAGTTTGAAAGGTTCTCGTACCCATATACGGCGAAACCAATTCCGCTGTAGCAGCATCTCACATGCATCACGATCGATCATCATGTTTGGGGCAGTGGGGGATTCATCATTGGAGGATCCATAATCTACACTGTCTCCTGCTAGACGGCGAATAATTTCAAATGCTTCGTCGCTATTGTTCCTAGCCTCCCCAAGCCAGACAATGACACAACTGGCTTGTGCATAGATTGTCCGCATAAGTGGGATCTGTTTCTGCTTTTCATCATCATCGCTCTGATTAATACAAATAGCATCAATTCACAGCGTTCGCTCAAATTGGTGATTCCTCAGATGTAAGAGTGCAGCATAGAGGTTCCGTGTAACAAAGAATATACAGTTATTCAAGATGATTGACTCAGGTTTTGTGTCACGGCTCTCTTCGCCGTCATACCATACATAAGAAAGCGCCTCGTAAAGGTGACGTCTGCCGTCGGTATCTGACAAATCGTAATCGATGAGCTCGCCCCGAATTTGAGCGTTGCTTTCTTTATGAGGTAAGAGACGAAGCATGCGGGTCGTATCAGACTCCGGTGGAAGCTTTGAATACGTGAAAGAGGCCATAGCCATAGTCGTAGAGGATGTTATAGGCCTGAAAGGCAATCAATTTCTCCGTTGAATTGCATTACTTTTTTCAAGAAGGAGTATGTGGCACTAAGTCTTCTTTTCAAGCGCATACCAGGCGATGCGGAGATAATCTCGTAGTTATGATCCTCGCAGCCTCGACCGGGGCGGTGTTGACTAGAGTGGGTAGGATCGACAACTCTACTGATGTGGCCAGCTTTCATAGGCTGAGGGGTCACTCCCTCTCTTGAAAGATCTACTCCGTATGGATAGTGCATTGAAGTAGCACAGTTCAACCGGTCCTTTCCTAATTGGGAGGTCATATATGATAAAAAATGTTCTTCCGACAATGATCCAAGCTGGCCTGATCCGCTCACAGCAAACGCTCAGTCCGTAGATACCAGATACCTGAGATACAAAATATCTAGGTCTTAATTTAAGATATTATTGGGAAGGAAAAGTTGGTAAATGAAATGGTCTATTCATAATTCATGTCTTTAACGTACTGGTATCATGACGGACATGTCTAAATAACAACACAATGCGAAGAAGAGAGGAATTCTAGTCTATATGCCAACCAACGCCGTCGCAGAACGAGATAAAAGCAAGCAGAAAAGAAACAGTTTTCAGCAACACCATTCAAACCATTCGCATAGCCGAGATGGCAGACATAGTAGGTAGTAAGCACGAAGGAACAACTGACATCTTCGACATTTTCGGCATCTTAGGCGGAGCCATCGACTTCAGAGCTCTTCGATTGATTTTGAAACCAGTTGTAGGGTAGCTCGAGATACAGTGGGCGCCACCAGTCAAGCGACGCAGGCCGGTAAGTTTAGCCTGGGCATAGCGTTCGATATCGCGGGTGACTTGGGCCGTCCTGCTGCGGTACTCAGGTTTGGGGATGACAAAGGCTGTCGGCTCGTCAACTTGGGTCTCGGTGTTGCGGACTCCAACGACAACCACGCTTGAAACGGCGGGGTGTTCAAACAAGATCGCTTCGATCTCGGCGGCAGACACGTGAGATCCGTAACCCTCACCGACCTTCAGGAGCTCCTTGATGCGGTCCACGATGTAGACATTGCAGCTTTGGTCGAGGTATCCGTAGTCACCGGTGTGGAACCAGCCTTCGGAGTCGAAATCGCGGTTTGCTACTTCGTTGTCTTTGTACCCCTTGAACCGGGCGATGGCGTTGCGTACCAGGATCTCGCCCTCTTCGCCGTAGCCGCACTCGCGCCCCGTCTCGACGTTGATCACCTTTGCTTGGATGCCGTTGACTAATGTGCCGCTGGAACCCGGCTGTTTGGAGCACTCATCTACTTGCATGGCCAGGAGCATGGTCTCGGAGGTAGCCCACTCGAGGGTGAGATGCACGCCACCGAATTGGCGCGAGACAGTGCGGCGAAGGTTCTCGTGCATGGGCGCACCGGCAGTCAAAAGCCACTTGACGCTCGAGACGTCGATATGACGAAGATCAGCACGGGCAAGACGGGCAGCGATGGGGGGCGTGATGAATAGGAAAGTGATGTTGTGACGGGAAACGACATCGACCGTGGTTTCGTCAAGAGTGTGTTGCATAAGCACGACCGGGATACCAAGGAGAATGTTTAGGCCCATGTGAAGCTTTGCGTTGATGAAGAAACCCAGCGAGAGGGGAGAGACCCATACATCCCGGTCCGGATCCGTATCGGCGGGAATCGTCCCCACTGTGGCCTCCATAGTGGCAATATAGTGGGCGTGGCTGGTGAGGACGGACTTCATCGTTCCTGTTGAACCGCTGGTCCGGTTGATGAAAGCATTGTGCTGATCGACTTCTTGTGGGGTCTTCAATTCAAAGATGTGGGCCTCGGGGTTTCCCAAGGGGAGGAGGGAGTCAACGCATGGCCAGTTTTGGTCATTGGCATCTAGGGTCATCACTGAGATACAACCAGCCAGCATGGATGCAACCTCGGTCAGCCGGAGCAGCTCTGAATCTGTGATTACCAGTTTGGCTTTCGCTTGTTCAAGACGAGCAGCCACGTCGGTTTCAGACATCTCCTTCTGTACTGGGATCGGGGCAACCACAGCACCGGCTGCGAGAATGCCGTAGTAGGCAATGGGGTATTGGATCTAGTTATGACTATGAGTATATAACCATCACTTCAGTAGCTCGGTGTATTACATACCTTGTCCTTAGCAAGGATAGCGACGACATCATTCGGCTCGATATCATAGTATTCGCGAATCGCATCGGCGAATTGCCTGCTCTTCTGCTCCAGCGCTCCGAACGTCAAGGTCTCATCGGAGCCATCGACGCGATACAAGACCCGATCGGTGGAATAATTCCTCCGACCATGATGGAATATATAGTTGAAGGCGTCGCACGAAGGGACGGGGGGAAGAGGCAGCTTGGAGTTGAAAATCATTTTGAAGGATATAAAGATATGGGGATGAAACTTGCTTCAACCAACACTCAGCTCATACAAACAATATGATTTTAATCGCTTTCTAGTGATGATTGCAAAGCTGAAGCTGCTGTTGATGACCCTAAACCCTCGAAACTCGCGAAGTTATATACCATCGACAATCCCATTTCACACTTCTCTCTCTACCATCCAACTCCATCCGTGACCATCGACCACCGCCCCCGTCCTCCCATCTCACCATGCAACTAAGCCTCTCGACGGTAGTTACACTGCATCCCAAGACCTGTAGCCGCATAACACACGCGGCAAGTGCAGACCGATCCAGGAAAGTCCGAGCATAAGCCGAGCTGATTGGCCCCCATTTGCGATGAGGATCCACGACATGCGATTTCTTGGGCCTAGATCTCTAGATCGCATCGGAGATTAATGTCAGTACAAGGTGCAAAAACGTGTTTCCCCCGGTCATGCCGGGGTTAGGCGTCCCCTGCACCGCCTCAGATCTTCAGAGCGTATCTGGGCTGGGACACATGGCTGCTGCCTCGTGGCTCACTGCTTCGATGGTTATTTGTTGCTTAAACGCGCTCCCACGTGTCCATTGTTCTTTGTGCGACCGTAGTCGCGTCTAATTGCTATAGCCGCTGGAGTTATATCTAGTGGTACTATATCAACCTCTTACATTGACCACACAGTCGTAGGATGCTAAGCGACAACGGCGACGATAACACTAGTGACGCAAAGTTCACGTATACAACAAGCGCTTACCTTCGGCCGACCGTAAAGATGAATTCTATCTATTGCCATAATTAGGATATCTTCATCTCATACTTACAACATAAACCTACGCACAGATGTTCAAACTCAGGCCGAGACACAGATAAAATTAAACGAACCAGAAAACTCGAATTGACTTTGGCAGACCAAGCCTAAGACACGTCCTACATGCGTCCGAACCGGTACATGGTTTGGTAGCGATGATCATCACTGAGCACGCAAGGACAACTCATCAACCTAAGCAGGGGTTAAGTGGGGGTGAGAAGCGAACAGTGCACAGACGGAACCCTCGTAATGCCATGTATAGATGCGGTCAAAGCGATGTGCATAGTTGAAACATCCACTAGCGCGTAGCTCATGTAGATACGATGTAGTATTCAACCATGTGGTCAGAGAATCAGGGGCGTTGAGGGCGCTAGCTTGAGGCTAGTTTGACAGGGTTTCGGGCGTTGGAGGCGTCCATGCAGGACATCCGTCTCCGTTGCGCTGGGTTGCAGAACAACCCCCCGGCCCTAGTTAACGTCGGAGTTTATGTCCTACGTACATCAACGGTTCGTGGGCCTGCTAAAGGGGCGGAAAATAAGACTCTTGCCAATCGTCATTTCCCACGTGTGGATTAGTTTGGGGTTGTCATGCTGGTCATATCCTTGTAAAACATGTGGAAGAACAGCCATGCTACATTTCCCTGCACCTATACTTGCTCGCTATATTATTCAATTCGAACATTATAGGTAGGTACTATAGGGAGATAACGCACTTCGTCTACTACGCTGTGCGATCCGGCTTAACCTTGTAGAGGCTGACAAGTGTAGCATGCAAGGTCGGAAATATGACATAGACCGGTATATATATATATATATATTTCCGAGTTGATACGAGCATGCTACATATCCTACTACGTCAAGAAAACCGTCTCACAAAGATATAGTTAGCTGTATGCTACTGACGGATATCACACCAATCTTTTGTATCTAGATATATTCCAGTTATAGAAGTAGAAGCACCATATACCAGTCCTGGATCTCACGGTTAGACTTTACATCTGACAATGTGTATTCAAATTTAAGTCCTTCTTACAATCCCGTCAGCATCTTGGTCATCTAGTATGTAATAATTACTCCATGCATTAGCAGCTACGAGCCATGCTGACAACGGGAAATGTGGACAAGGCAGGTGACGGTCAGAGGCCTAGGATCCAGATCCCAGGATGGCAGCCGCAGATCGCAACCGTCGCTACCAATATCACTTGGTGCTTCTGGTAGCGGGATAATAAAGGATCCATGTGTCCAAAATAATTCTAACATTTTTCTTGTTCAGACAAGTCTGAATTGGATGAGTCCATGGGCGTTTCGATGTAATTAGAGAAGATTGCTAGGTCCAATGTTCAAGTAAAGGAAGGACTAACAAGGTCTAGGGAAGAGTGGACTAAGTGTCCCTCCCGTCTTTACCTCGACCATCCCCCTCGGAAAAGCTCGTCCCTTTGACCAACAATGTCCGTGGCCAATAGATGCTGTCTATACCAAAGATAAACCACACCAAATCACTCCGACACACGTGGTGACCACAAGAGTCCGAGTTGACCCACGGCGGCAGGTTTACTGACAGATAGGCCGGACAATTGAAGGAGCGGAAAAATCATAGTACGTATTGTTTCAAATCTAGCTAATACTATGGTAGCAGATGTATAATCTCTCATTATGGAAATTGCGTATCAACAACCCGCTCCTCCAATCATCATCGATCTGTGCACAGATGAAATCGTATATATCCATGGTGCAAAATTCGAGAGAACAAAAGAAAAACTAGTAGATTGTGGCCGTAAATCATAAATCACCAAGTGAATCGCTCTTCGGGGCGACCTTAGCACATGCGAAAATCAGTCGAGTAATGGGCAGCAACGTAGCAGCATCCAAGGTCCCTGCCTTGTCTTGCTCTAACAACTCGTGCAATGTTCGGGGTGCAGGAGGGCTGTTGGCTTGCCGCCGCGTCGCGTGCTCACGGGCCATCGCCCACTCCTCTTCGTCGCAACAGCGCCACATATGCTCTGTAGCTGGGAGAGGGAGCTGGAGAACGATGTCATCGCCGAGGGGTTCAAAGTAATGTTCGTTGAGTAAACGGGCTTTTGCCCCGAGAATATTTATCATGTTTACAAAAAAGAAGTTCCGACGGAGAGATTCAGCATATTTCCACCGGTTCCAATCATTCTCGTCCTGATGGTGGGTCAAGAGCTTTTCCTGATGCATCTTATACAGCCGACGAGCCATCTGTGATTGGTTAGCATAATGGCCCCGAGTAAGGGATGGAGGAGCATATATAAAGTGCTTACCTTGAGTAAAAAGGAACTGTGCAATTCAGCTGCTCGCTCATTTTCCTCGCGGCGCTTGTCGTTGATCTCCTTTGGGATTTGAGGCCGGACAATGGCTGCGGGTAGGAAATTATCTCCAAAGAGGCCTAGAATCTGGTACAGGCAGACGGCGTGGACTGCAGCCAGACATGTTTCAGGGGTGTCGACATGTTTGTGGAAGTTGCGAACCAGCTTGTCTCGTTCTTCGTTAATCATGCGATCTACAAATCCATAGCTCGACTCAACTGAGCTCGCATGTGCCGATACACAGGCCAAGGCGATCCCCATGGGTTCGGCCATGCCACCCATCGAGCAACGGTATAGACGATGATGCACAAAGGGCGACCAGAACTCTCGCTCGAGGATCATACCCGGATATTCGCGGAACACAGAGAACAAGTCTCGGTAGGTTTCATCGTATTCTCGCATCGCAAAGGGACCGACCTTTGGGACAAAATGGTAGCCAAGGGTCAACCGCGGAGAATGGTCACCGCGGAGAAGTCCCTGTGTAGGATCGTTCTCCTCCCCACGAGAGGACCCATCCCGATAGTGGCTGTCTGAGGAAGAGGATGATAGTGATGGAACATTGTAAGGAGAGTTGGAGTGGTAGGTATTCGCTGTCAATGCTCCTGGCTGGGGAGCCTCTAACGGTCCCACTGGCTTGGAGATTTCATGGAGGGGCAAGAAGTACGATGATCCTGCGTTGCTTGATTCATCCATGGCGGCGGCGAAGGTATTTCCGACAGACATGGGATCAGTCAGCGGTGTGAAGTCGTCACCCCAAGGCAGGGAGCCTCCGGGGCTAAACAGAGACCCGTCCAACGCTCGCACCATAGAGTCCATATTCGTGGTTCCGAATGGATTCCACCCTGTTGCGGACATTGGGTCGAAGTGGGTGGGTGTGGTATTGCATTGTTGGCTGGTCGCGGGCAGCGGATGAGTGCCATTTGTGCCCGAAGGGGGTACGTCGTCCAACGCCATGGCTGAGGAAGTATCCGTAACCACATTCCGGCCCATGGTATTATGGGAATGTGTCGATTGACCAGATCTAGATGAAGCGACCGAGGCGGATGACGTAGGAGGAGTGTCTTGAGGATCAGCGATCCGAGGAGGCAAGGATGTCGGGGGATAGTGGCATGCTGTCCCCATTTGGACGCAACGAGCGCACGCGGGTCGAGTCATGGAGCAACGTAACTTCTTCTGCGCGCATGTTTCGCAGGATTTGCGTTTCGATAAACGTTCTTGGCCGGCTGTCTTGATGCACCGTCGTCGGTGTCGGTCGCGGAGGTCGCCTGTGTGCCGTTAGTTATGTCCATTGGAAATACAGACAACGCAATGTCTCTGCAGTTTTCTATGCGTTATATGTTCTAGAAGGGCTGCGTACGTCGACTGTAAGTCTTGTTGCAAATACCGCACCTAAAATCCCCAGACTGCGGTCCCACGCCATTGTCCGCTATCTGGGACGTGGTTGCTGGTCCTTCTGGACTAGAGATGGCTGACATTGTTTCCTCCACTGAATGCATTGAAATCTTAAAATTCATACGATCCTCTTCTATGGCCACCATCGAGGGTCCTTGCGTGGCAAGCAACTGTACATGTGCGCGAATAGCGCAACTGGTCTGGGCAGCGGGGAGAGAGGGGAGTATGAGACCAAATGCCAAGCAGTTCGACAGAGGTATGAATTACCGTTGGAGTAGACCGGGAAAAGGTCAAGGCCTCAGAAGGAAGCGAAATTTGGGGAAGAAACAAAGAAACAAAGGAAGTCTAATAGAAAAAACACGAGGGAGCGCGGGGATAAGTATGAGCAGCGAAGAAGATAGTTCGGAATCTAACCTTGAGCAGTACAGTTTAATCAGTCAGGCTTTTCTTTTGGCATGGCCTGTTTGACCCCAATCCTGGTTTGGGATTCCAATCCTTCTCTTGGGCTGACCATAAGCTAACCATGAATTATATTATTCTGCACGCCGCAAGACGATCTATCAGGTTAATTTCCTCTTTGTCGTCTTACGAATTTTAATCCGTCATTTATTATGTTTTTCTTTTTTACCGAGTTTAGACTTTCAGGTGCCCCTCTTGACTTTTGGCGGCGTTTTATGATATGGCGGCTGATGCTCGCTAACGGACAATCTACTCGCTTGGCTCGAATCCTCGGCGTTGCAGGATGGGAGATCACGATAAACGAGGACTTTAATTATACCCCTTATCGGTGAGGACCAGTATCTCGCGAGATGAAAGTGTCGGGACGCCCTTTTCTTAACTTTTCTTTTGATGTTTTTTTCCCAGTTGGAACTCTAATGCATCGTCCATCAAGCTGGCAGCAAGAGTAAGCGAGGTTGCAAACCCACTGCGACATCCCTGCACATGCTGAACCAGAGTCGTATCAGTCTAGACAAAAGTAGGAGAAGGCCAGGACGAACTAATACCACCGGGGGGGCAAGGGGCTGGAAGAATGAGAGGACCGCTATTCGCTGGTTAATCTTCTCTCGCTCACCTGTCGAAATGCACGGCCATTAGCGCCGGGGCTAAACGACGATAATTTAGCAGCTCGGCAAGCGTTATCTTTTCTCCCGCTGGACGTTAACAAGGAGGCAGCTTCTGGTCTCAGTGTACCTCCGGTCAGGTTGATCCTGGTGGGGATGCTATTATCCTCGTACTTCGCCCTACTGTCTATCTTTCTTCCTATGCAATCGAGTTCCCGGGGTTATGTGATTCTTTGTTTTCGACCCATAATGAGTAAACTGTTACCTCGGGTTAGGGCCGGGAATCCGAACCAACCCAAAACGGGACGCCCCGTGCTATACGGCAATCGCCGCGGTACGCTTTCAACTCTTCTTCTCAAGCATAATATGTCCCGCCGATGCATTTTAGGAACGGGATCAGTGCGGGAGCACATCGGGGAGTGATCATTCGTGGATGTACACGGGCAGAGCGACGTGCGGATTGACCCGTCCGTTGATCCAACCGCAGCAGATGAAACCCTAAGACCTAAAGTAGCAGATACTGGAGTACACCAAGTGGGACGCTCCAACCAGTGGATCCAGCAACCAAATGCGATCCACACCTCGGACAATACACTTAGGCCGCCAGATACAAGTTGAGACAGGTTGTTCTATTTCAAGTACGCAGTACTTATGTGTCCGTCCGGCCGAAAAACCACAGGCAACCAGAACCAAGCGATACGAGGAGTGTCAGAGACTCGTCACTCCTCATGGTATACCCGTATGATAGGCTGATCCTCAGGTGCGACAGCAAGCAAGGATGAATTAGCCATGGGTTGCAGGAATGTACGTATGAGATCAAAACCGTCAACGTTAGCGTCAAGGCCGCATGGCCGGACCCAAACGCTGTGTCTATGGCGGAATTAAATTTTAAAATTTCTCTCGCTTGGCATCTTCTCTTGCCCCCTTTTTATTTTATTGTGTCTTATTCTTGCCCGTGCAATTTGAGAAGCTGTTGATGCCAACCAGTCCCTGAGTTTAGGGACTAGCGATTTGGACAGCGTGGCGTGAACACACGTGAGGAAGAGGCCCAAGAGCGTAATGAAGATGCCGATACTGACTGAACTCGTCGCTGCATAATTCCTCGTCCAGAATAGCTCCGCTATGAAGCCCCATTTCTCTGCAGATGAGAAACTCGGAGCGATCTGGCAGGCTAAATTGCTTGGAAGGCTCGACATTCATTGCCAAGAACTGGGTAAGCGGCGGTACCGTCCAATGCATCTATCGTTATCCCACCCTATATGCCTAGCCCTACATGGCCAATGAGGATCGACATCATTTTCCGAAAATAGTCATTGCTGGTCCATAGCGCCGCCTGTCGGTGTCATGCCGAACAACCATGTTGAACAACCGGTCCATAATACGTCCACTTGAATTGATGCGCCACAGGACTGGAGCCAATCCAACACAAGGGACATACGGAGTAGGAGCCTCATGGGTCATTAGTGGATAAGAACCTGGCGGACTAGCCCGCACAAGGTGGGACTGACGAGATGAAGCTGACGTCTAGAATGTATTGACATTTTACTCCCATCACTGTCTGGTGGACGTGGATACGATCGTCAGCCCGTTCCCAGCGATAAGGCAATACTCGCATTCAACGCACGTGTCTGCCCCTCCCTCACGTTATCGAGAACAAGAGCATCTCATCAGCTGGCTTCAATTCGTATTTCAGCACTCTAGTATGCATGAGAGTCTCCGTGGGGTTCTCCATATCCCCGAATAGAAACCGCGAGCTCATACATATGTCTTCATGAAGACGGGTTATTGCCAAGCAAGATCGTCAATCCAGGAAGGAATGCTTGCCAATATAGTTGCGAATTCTCAAGTGCTTAGCACATAGTTACACTTCTCCCATCTTCAAATGCCAAAAGGGCGATGACGGCTCTTACAGTCGACGTTGTGGGTTTATTCGTGAGCCCGTTAGAGGCACTGGGATGGTCCTCGGAGTTGCTCTCAAGACCAAATTGGTCCGATCTATACTTGACCGTATCTAGAAAGATCGGCACTCTTTAGAGAAACAGAGCCAACTGAAAGATCGTACTTTCTATCGGGGGGGTAACAAGTGTCATGTCAGCTCAAACAAGATCTGGGTTGTGGGGGAGATGAAAACCACGGGGCCGGCACTTTCACAAGCACCGATGGGGCTCAAGGATGGTCAAATTTGTTACACGACCTGGAAACCATCTCTCAGGGTATGCATAGATAGTGAAGTACAACAATCCATTGAGTCCGATCGTAGATATACGAAGCAGATTGTCTACGCTGCTGATCAGGTGTATACCAAGCAATGCGGTTGGCCTGGGATGGCGTCGATATACGCCACATGGCATCAAGCACAAATCAAGCCCCAGGTGATTACCTTACTGGCATTGAAAAACATCCTCAAGAACATAAAAGTACCCTCGGCTTAAAGGTTAGCGAAGTTAGCGCAATTACATCGGGCTACTTGGTGTCTTGGCTGCACTGGCCGTTGCCGGGGATTTTAATGCGAGGCCCTTGATAATGCCTCCTATATTGGGAATATATTGTTGCAGAACACAGTCCTTGAAAGAAGCTAGTATATTCTATTAACGATATCGCTCATATAACTCAGAGTATAGATCACACATCGCAGCGTCTCGAACAATAAATGCGGTGCGTATTGCCCACACTAACAATACGTAGATCTTTGATTAAGTTACCTGCTACTTGCCCCGTAAGGTGTTGTAAATGCTATGCAAACCTAATAATCCACGCGACTTTCAGGGGTCGGACTTAGGGTGCATTATTGCATCTTGATGCATCTTGCATAGCCCAGTGGGGCCTAATCCTGTCTTGAGGCATGATGTCGCATAAAATTTGGACCCGGAGCAAAGCGGGAGACGTGCATAGTTAGTGGGACAACAACGCCCGGCGCAGGAACTATAAAACAAGCAAGCGAATTGGGACGGGTCCTTGTGATGAAGGATTCGAAGGATGCACGCTACATGACGGTTTCTGTCTAATGACAGGTGTCGGAATTGTACGTGAAAATAGATAGTGGATGGATTGTACATATCCCTCTATCTAAAGGAAACAAACGAATATAGTACTCTGACGGGCCATTCAACTCGCTGACCTCAGGATGGGGTTTCAGCTGTTGCTTATTCCAGAAATATTAGGCTAGAGACTGTCAACGATTGGAGACTCGGAGATGACATGTTCGAGTTTGACTGAGAACTGGACATGGGGTGCAAAAATCTGGTTATACGTGGAAGCCACTTGTTTTACCATGGAAGGATCCTGTGGATGACTATAGTTTCTATGCCTCTAGGCTATTTTGATTTTACCTCGACTTATGATGCTGTCTGCACTCAACAATAAGCACTACTAAGATTTGCAATGATGGATGAGGCGCCACTGAACTCCGTTGGTATACCAGTCTGAAGGACTCTGGTATACATATAAAAGCCTCCGCGAACGGCTTAATATTTTGTCTAGTGCATACCTCGGACCAAGGAATACATAGAGCTCTTATAATAATAACAACATACGGCAGCCGCATCTTTGTCCATCTTGCCACCATGACACATCACCCGCACGACACCTGGACCCCTCAGTCCTGGTCTACAAAGCCCGTGATCGCCCAGGCTGTAGAATATGATGACCCGAAAGCTTTAGAATCGGTCATCAGCACTATATCCTCCCTGCCAGCGCTTGTCAACCCAATGAAAATCGAGATTGCCCGTTACAACTTTGCAGCCGCGGCACGAGGCGAGGCATTCATCATTCAAGGGGGCGACTGCGCAGAGAGCTTCGACGATGTACACCTGCATGCTATTAAAAAGAAGGTCAAACTCCTGCAGGAGCAGTCTCATCTTCTTGGGCAAGGACTTAATCTGCCCATCGTAACAGTGGGACGAATTGCTGGCCAGTACGCAAAGCCACGGTCGTCTCCGTTGGAGACTTTGGAAGACGGCACGATAACTCACACTTTCCGCGGACACAATATCAACGGCCCCAGTCTGGGAGAGAGACGCCCTGACCCGTATCGTCTGCTACTGGGAGACTTTTATTCCAGGACAACCTTGGAAATGATCAGGCATATTCAATCTACGCCCACTTCTACGAGTCCCAACTTCGTCCCGGCGCCGAACTCCTTCCCCTTGACCCCGGAAGAGACAGACGTTGAACCATTAGAGACACCAGCTGGGACTATCTTTACATCGCATGAAGCGCTTCACCTTCCTTATGAAAGTGCAATGACCCGCAATCGTTACAATACCTCAGCCAGTTTTATTTGGATCGGTGAACGTACGCGGCAGTTGGACGGGGCTCATGTCGAGTACATCCGTGGCCTGCGTAATCCCATTGGGGTCAAGATCGGGCCAAATATTGACAGTTCAACACTGGTTTCTCTTCTCAATGCAATTTGCCCTGAGCCGCATCTGTTAGAGAACTTTGGCCGGGTGACGATTATCACGCGGCTCGGCGCAGAGAAGGTCGCCAGTGTTCTCCCCCCTCTCATCAAAGCCGTTCAGGAAGCAGGGCACACACCCGTCTGGATGTGTGACGCTTGCCACGGGAATACACAAACTACGGAGACCGGTCTTAAAACACGTCATGTAGAGCACATGCTACTTGAAGCTACCCGGACATACCAAACACATCGAGAGAACAACTCTTTGCTGGGAGGGTTGCACCTCGAACAAACGGGAGAATTCGTAACCGAGTGCCAAGACGATAAGACTATGGATAGGAAGAGTCCTTTGAGCAGTAATTACCACAGTTTATGCGACCCACGTCTATCCAATATCCAAGCGTTGAGTCTAGTTCGGCAATTTGTGGATTTCGTGCGCAGCTGGGAAGGGAAAGAAAAGCTTGGATATTAATTGGGGTTTCAAGTACTACCCAACGCATACTACTTTACGATCAAACGGTATTGATTTCGGCTTTCCGACGCTTTGAATCGGTTGTTTTTATGCAATAATAGATTTCCTTCACAAGTTATTACGTCTTACGCTTTTTTCCAATGTCCCTATTACTTGAAATAAACTTCACCACCGTTACAATTCTCTGACGAACTAAAGGATCCTACATGAAAAGTATGACGATCACTACAGTAAAATAACCCTTTGGCCAGGTCAGGTTTAGCGATCATGTCGAATTTTTCATCAGTAGGTTACCAGTGGCTCAAGCCGCCAGCAGCTCACCAAGAAACCCTCAGGACCCATTTTCCTTTTCCGCGAAACTGACTCCACAACGGCGCATGAACTAAAATATGACGACAGGGGGGCAGACCAATGGAGAGGAAGAAAATAGAACAAGTCTATGGAGACAAATAAGCAGGCCTAGTCCGAATCTAGGCCAAGACCCGTGCCATCAGATCGATTTTCGCGAGGGAAATCTCATCAGCAGTTGGCTGTCAACTAGGGCTCTCTCCATGACACCCAAGAATGTCCGAAGAAGCCCCCCGCCATACCAGAGGATAGATCTGTTAAATCTCCGTGCGCTCCGTCTAGATGATAGAGTTCCAAATTTTCTCTGATAAATGTGTCTTGCACATGCTCGTTGAGTTGAGCTTAGTGGATTCTTCGTCTGAATGAAGCCCGCCGAGACCGATGTTATCAACAACATGGTGGAACAAGTAGTTGTTTGCCCCAAACTTTCCCCGAGTGAAGATGAGGCGATGCGCGCGTTCGACGATGGGCGGGACCTGGACGTTCGAGACATAGATGACGCTACGAATACCAGGTTGCTGAAAGTTATCGATAAGAACTTGTTGCCAGTGTGTTTATCCCCTGAATTTGGCGTTGTGGCTGTTGCTAAGGTTTTATCGCCTATCTCGTAGTTATTATGTTTGATCTACGGCCTCAACTTCGTGGACAGTAAGACTGGCCTTTTTATTATTATTATTATTATTATTATTATTATTTCTCTTACCCCCCTAAGTTTCCCAGTTGGCGTATCGATATACTGATGCTTCCTGTGGATAGAAACCACGCTGTCATATGCTAGTGTGATGGGTCTGCAGACAGACCTCAACCTCAAAGGCAACGAATATCAATGGCTGGGGAGTATTTTCTATTTTGGTAGGTCTGAGTTTTGCTGTCGGTGGCATCCCGTACATTTTACTCATGCTATTAGGCTACATACTCGTTGAGTATCCTAGTAGTTACCTAATGCAGCGATTCCCTCTGGCAAAATATTCATCATTCAATATAATCCTCTGGGGAGCGACACTTACCTGCTTCGCTGCCGTAAACAATTTTGCCGGTGCTGCCACGGTCCGGTTTTTCCTTGGGGTCTTCGAAGCAGTAGTCACGCCAGGATTTACTACCTTAACTTCGCAATGGTACACAAAGCGTGAGCAAGGCAGCCGCGTCGGCTTCTGGTTCAGCTGCAACGGGGTTGCGAATGTTGTCGGGGGCCTAATCGCGTACGGAATATCCCGAGGCGTAGAGCAACACGGGCCCTCCATACAGCCATGGCGGATTCTATTCTTAAGCTTTGGTCTATTTACAATCGCCGTCGGTGTGGCATTTCTCTATTATATACCAGACAATCAGTGGAACTGTCGATTCCTGAGCCCGGCAGACCGTGTCTTAGCCGTGCAACGGATCCGTGGCAACCAACAGGGAATTGGCAACAGGCATTTCAAAATGTACCAGTTCAAAGAGGCGCTGACGGATCCCATGACCTGGGCGTTTGCATTCTTCGGCATTGCCGTGAATATCCCCTTTGGAGGTATCACAACGTTCTTCTCACAGATCATCCGCAATTCTGGATATACCTCACAGCAGAGTTTGCTCTACGCCACGCCGGGAGGGGCTTTCCAGACGATTGTGGTCGTTTTGAATGGAATTATCAGTGACCGCTTACAACAACGCATCTATGTCAGTTTTGTTGGCATGATCATTGGGCTTTTGGGCGCCATTCTCCTGGCCGCGTTACCGTTGAGTAACAGTCCGGGTCGGTTAGCCGCTTACTTTCTCACGCAAGCCAGCCCGACCGCATTTATTGCGTTACTATCTTTTATTTCCACAAATGTAGCTGGTGCAACCAAGAAGACTACCGTAGGAGCCATTTATATGGTCGCCTATTGCGTTGGAAACATCATAGGTAAGAATGTCCCCCACCAAAAACGCCGTGTGTAGCAATATATTGACACAGGACATAGGCCCTCAGACCTTCCAGCAAAGCGATGCACCGCGGTATATCCCGGCTGAAATCGGCATCTGCTGTTGCTGGGGAGCATGTTTGCTTGATCTTTTGTTGATTAGATATCTGTATTGTAAACGAAACGCCGAAAAGGCGAGGGTTCGATCTGCGCCTGGTTACGAAAAACCAGAAAAGTCAGAATTCAAAGACTTGACTGATCGTGAGAATCCAGAGTTGGTATATGTGGTCTAAATACTATGGCCTATGTGTACATAGATGGTCTATAGAATGATGAGAAATGTACATACTACGTGTTATGTTCGGTATACATTGGTTCGTGAATAGCTGCAGTTTTTCTCGGGGAGAGCAACCACCTCTGAATAAGACTTACATTATCCGGCGCTTGTTTCATCAATCCCTTAGCCTAGGGAGCCAAGTGTCACCGTTGAGGCTTGAGCGAACCTGTGCCGAGAATCTTCGGCGGAGGTGGGATGTTTGTGGGGACCTGTGCTCTCGGAGGTATGTTGTCTTGCGGTCAATGTCCACCACGATTGAAGATCATACCAGAGGCATACTATGAAACTCATTGTTTGCTCTTTTTTTTTTTTTTTTTTCTTCGGTTGCGACACTTTTCATTTCTGTAGTGGTATCTATGACTAATTCTACAAACTATTGAATATTTCCCATCGCTTCATGACAAGCTCGTACGATGTACGTTGTCTTCGCGGTCGTGGAGTAGTATCAATCAACACGATTCTCCGAGAGATTAGATAGTATTAACTCAATTAGCATCGATCATCATATTCTTAGAATATTGTAAATTGCAAAGAATACCAAACCATTCCGTAAACGCTCAGACTGCAACTCGTGCCGTAAAGCATGAGCCCCTGCCCGATTGACAACCAATTTCCAAGTCGGACTAATGTGGACATGGGCAGGAGAACCATGTGTCCATGTGCCCCGAGCGTCCTTATCCACAGTGTCGGATCTGAGCTAGTTGAAGTTTATTCCGCGTGTCTGTCACCTTACTGTTAGGACTTCAATATCATAAGATTTCGGCGCGGCGTGGATAGTCCGTGCCATGTTCATCAACCTCTGCGTAACCATCATGGCCGGAGAGTATAGGCAACAACTCGGATGTCCGTACGAGTGTTCACGGAGCAGAGTGTTTGATGATGGACATCAGGAGGTAAATGGACGTCGCATACAACCTCATGAGTAGTTATAAACACATTCAATGTCTCGAGGTCTGTAAATATCATCAACAGGAACAGTATCACAACTAGAGTGACAATCATAACCACAAGAATTAGAGGAACAACAAACGCCACCATACTTTCTACCACCTCAATCACCGTCCAAGTTAACATTATCTATCATTCACAATGTCTACCCCGATCTTCCCCGTTATCGACTATTCTCGCATCGTATCCTCCAACCCTATGATCGCAGCCCAAGAGAAAGACAAGCTGTTCCAATCCTTCAAAGACGTCGGCTTCATCTACCTCAAGGGTTTCAACTTTCCTCCAGAGTTCATCGACACCCTCTTCTCTCATCTTCACAAGTTCTTCTCCCTCCCCGAGGAACAGAAACTTGCCATCGAGGGCGGCGAAAAGCAAGCCTTCCGCGGCTGGTTCGCTCCAGCCCGTACAGCCAAGAACCCTGAGAAAGCCGACCAGAAGGAAGCATTCGGCTTAGGAAATGATAAGGACGAAACACGGCCGAACCGCTGGCCGACCAACTGGCCTGAATTCCGCCGCGACTTCACAACCTTCTACGAGGAATGCTACAAGATGCATCTTGAGGTGCTGCGCGCATTGACGGAGAAAGTCGGCCTGGACCGCGAGTCTCTCATTCCTTCCGTCAAGGCCAAGGACTGCTACAGTGCCTTGCTACACTACTATGAGACTTCGTTGGAGAGCTTCGATACTCGCGTGCGCTCTGCGCCGCATACGGACTTTGGAACCCTGACCCTGCTGTTCAATGATAGCAATGGCGGCTTGCAAGTGAAGAACAAGGAAGGACAATGGATCGATGCGCCTCCTATGCGCGGTCATGCCATCGTTAATGGTAAGCTACTACCCATCTCTCATCTGCTCCACGATCGAGATACTAATAGAAGAAATAGTGGGTGACCTTCTCTCTCGCTGGTTCAACGGACAATTGAAATCCACTCAGCACCGGGTCGTCCAGCCTCCAGCTGAAACCCGGGAAACTGCAAATGGTATAACCAATGTCATCCCTTCCAGATATGCCATTGCCTGGTTTGGCCACCCCAACCGCGACGCAGTCGTCGAGCCTCTGAAGGAATGTGTTACCCCGGAGTGGACGCAGAGGTTCAAGGCAGTGGTCGCCGGGAAGCATGTCAAGGAGCGCATGGCTCGACTATTGGAGCACGGCTATCTGCCTGAGAAGTGGACCGATGACATGCACCGCAAGCCTATTGCTGTTTAGTTACATGTGTCTGATGTTCCTGCATTGGTTGGCGCTTGCTTGCATATAGATATAGTCTTCGGAGTTCGGGTCTCACCTTCTTATAATGATGTTACGATATCCTTTTAATATCAAAACCTATTTTATTTATGAAACATGGTTCTTACGTAAATCACAAAAATTAGAGCAATCGTAAACCGAAATCATGACTATTTCACTTAGCGGAATCTTCCGGAAAAGACATACAAGAATCCCCATGCATTAAATCGTATCGTCAAGGTATTCAGGCTATGCCTCTTTTTTTATTAAGACGCAGGCGTCCCATTCTTGTTCAACTCGATTATAGTTTCCAACCCAGACAAATCGAGTTAATTCATGCGCATCAAGGTCTACATCACATCCTAAAGCTTCTTTATGGTTGAGCGTTTTTAAACTATGATCACTGGCCTATTCACCTAAACCACCACCATCAATTCCGATGTCAGCAACCCACAGACAGCCAGTAAGTACCCTTCTCGTCAATCGCTCCGGTAGCGTGTAAGGGAATTGCTGCTAGCTAACTGAAAAGGATTGCAAGCTCTAATACTAACTGTATATTAGTGGCCCGTTCCACAAACGAGGAACGGTACTACATGACATTCCACAACACTGCCACATTGTACCCCAGAGTCGAATTACCACTCCATCCTCTCTTTCTCAGCTCAGCCGCCGTGAGAACCGGAAATAGCAACCGAGAGTCCGAAAGAAAACACTTCTAATCAGTTTACCAGCTTCCTAAAACAGAGCAGATCATCGATGAGGGCTGCAAAATACCGAATCAAGGCATAGTCACAAGTATTGCTGAGCCACCACAAAAACCTGGTTATAATACATGCTGATATTCAACCTAAATCTTGGCCGTACCGACCGGGACAGATCGGAGCAGGTATCATCCTTGCAGATACAAATCCAGTACCCCATATATCATGGTGTCTATTTCTCAGACGGCCTTTTCCTCCCACTATACTAGAGCCTTTCGGCATCCCCGACCCCATGTTTCCCTAGAATAGCCGTCTGTCTCACTTCAAAGTGACACCCCTCCCATCTCCATAAGGCAACCTCTACGCCCCGTCCATCGTATCCCTTCTGACTCACTACAGGATGAGATTATGTGTGCATACTGTACGTATACCGTAAGTTCCACTCAACCCCTCCAGGTCCAACCAAGCCTTATTCCGCTACATAGGACCCAGCCAACACGGATCTTGGCCGTCAGAGAGCCTCATGTTACTTACGTGAAATTTTATTCACGAAACTTAGCCTACAAGACGGCCCCACCGGACTGCATTAGTAGATGGCCTAACGGCGTTAAATCAGCTTTCTTCACGGCGCATGATCAGATAATTCCAAGTAACGAGTCTAGAAGCCTGTCGCAATTTCTGCTTGGAGTAATATCGGCTAAAGATTAGTAAGAGTCTCCATAGGTGGGGTTCTTGGGATATGGACTGACTGGGTATTTGGACTGAAATACTTGATTCTGGTGCTTTCATGATTCATGCGGATTTGTGGGTCAGGGGGAAATATTTATCTATGTGGGATTTGCTGATTGTTAATTTTCTAGATAGAAAAGGGGAGATTATTAGGGGGTACCTAGACTAAGGGGGGGGGGAGGGCTAGCAGGGATTCAATCTAGACGGAGTGAATTTGTGACTTGATAAATGGTTTGGCTGGACTTCGGACGGCTAGGATTCTGTGGCTTCCCTTTCTATTGTATAGTGAGCAGTCCCCCACGTAGAATGAATCCCTTCTTTGATGATCCTCTGTTCAGACGTGTCCAAATCTAGCTTGAACCTTTATATCTCATGTCCTCGGTTTCATCAGGACGCAGTCTTCTCTTCTTTGCACGGTATAAAATATGTGGACAAAGCCATCGGGACAGGAACGCAGGATACATCCAAGCCCTAAGATGAATTATGACCCAAGAGACCTGTCGAGTGATACTTTTCCCGCTGTAAGATAATGCTCAGAACTATTAAAATATTCTGATAAAGAGTAGTATAACACACAAAGGGGGCAACTTAATAAAAACACCCCTAACGATCACATGGCCTGGTATTAATGTCCACAAAGTCCAACGACAATATAACTTCAATCATAGCCTCTACAAGTTTATACCCTTATATTATCACTCAAAACTTGATTAAGACTATATTCCAGTCAATACATGGCTCCTCCAAGTGCCGGCATAACCATGTTGAACCCCATCACACCCGCACGCCTGCTCTGAGACAGTTCTTTGTCTAACTGCCTGTACAAAAGCCCAATGGATGACTGGAAACAATCAATCAAAAGCCGTCAATCCAGAAGAAAGAAGGCAAGATCTTATTGAGTCCCTGTCCTTTGTTATCTATAATGACTTAAGGCGCCACGCGGCTCACATCGATCGGCATTTCCTTATGCCAACAAATTTCTTATACGACACTTTCCCTACAAGAACAGTATTCAGATCCATGGATACGGAACTATCTTCAAGATCGTCCAGTATGCTCAAAAGACCAGCAACTGCCTTATTGCCAGAGATCCCCTCCGAGAACCTCACGCAACGAGCTCTCAAAAAACTCAAACAAGTGCCTGAATCCCCGTCTTCAAATCCACCAACAACCGCACACTCTCCAATCTCTACTACGGATGCCCATAACTTGAAACGTTTCGCGCGACACGGTGGTCCTGATCTCACTGATATCCGAGGTGTAAGCATTCACACTATACACCAGCTTGCAATCATGATACATGACCTCTGACTAATTGAATAGTATTGTTCGCCAACGAATACGTTGAATACGAAGAGCGAGTCCGTGTTTGGGACAACTGGGTCCCAGGATCAGGAAAATCCTAAGCCAAATTGTTGTCCTAACGAGACTTTTTTTTTTTTCGCTGGGTTTAACGGGTAAGCCTCTATGCTTCGATCGGTATATTGCCTGGCGGAATGATATGGAGTTTCCCCCAGCTCGAAAATGTATAGCATGACAGTAGTATCTATACGGTGACAATGACTCATGGACCAGGCATGATGAGCTCAAATGATGTTTCTAGAGCTAATACCTATTCAGTGATCAAACCATCCGCTGGTAGGTAGCATTCATCCGGATAGAGTTCATCAACCGATAGCTCTCAGTCCTATATCTATAGGGTCTGATTAAGGACATATAGTGGCATTTTTATTTACCTTTGCATATAGAAATGTCGTGGCTTTCTCAAGCCGCTGGTCTGGTTTCAAGAGGGGAAGTTCATTCTCCTCGTTTCAGCTCTTTTTCTTCTCCGCTGCCCCTTTAAGTATCAAGAAATCCATTGACTTACATAGCGTACATTCTCGATCAATCCATAATACATCCTATTGTCTCTTAAAGTCTTACATGAGCTAGTACCTAATCTTTTCACATTCCAATACGGATGACACGAGATGCTTAATAAGATATATTAGATGTCCAATACTCTGGGCACAAGATCACTGCGCCAATAATACCACAAAAGAGCACTTAGTTGGTCCTTGAAGAACTTGACTTTCTTTGAGGCCATTTCTAAATCTTCTGGATTACTCAACGGCTAACGGAGAGCAACCTTCCTCACTATCCGACTTGTTATTAACACGAGCCAGGAACATGTCAGTAGTAAGATGGCGCAAAAGCCTAGAAAGATTTGGTGACTGTTCTAGAAGATAGAACCTTCAGAATAGCCAAGTAGACATTGTTAAAAAAATGTCTCAACCGGAGAGAGTACGTCAGTCTTCCAAGTTGAGACGGCAACTCGCTTCCATTGCTGGTTATGTGACAGCTGGATGATGAACTGTTGTTGTGTGGTTTTGAGATGCAGAATAGAAGACATTGCTAGGAAAGCTACACTAGAAGGATCGAATCGAGATTATGTCTTCCAAATCCCACAGACTCGGTTACTGAGGATGTAATACTACGAGGGTACGGATACCACATCGGCAGGATCTAAAGACAAGGGCAGGATCTAAAGACAAGGGCAGGATCACGGTGTTGATTGATATAGCAATGGTAAGGTAGTGGGTCGGCGACTGCTGGAGCAATCGTTGAATGCCTATCGAGATATTGTTTTTGGCAATTTTGTGCCTAAACGGGGGACTATAAGCGGCTCCCCGTCAGCCGTAAATCACGCTATCTCAGGCTACAATATGATATAAATGATGTCCGTGTCTGAAGCTACACGCGAAAGTCATAAGCCTAGCACGTGAGGTAGTATAGACTCAGAGTCTCTGCTGGTGCCTTGACACGTATATTTGAGTATAGGCCGACAGGCTTGACTAGTCACATCTAGTCAGCAATTTTTGAATGGCATCAGATGTATAGCATTGCTGATGATGTGTTTATTCAACAATAGCTGACATGGGTCACATCGGGTGGAACAACACGAAAGATTCGTGCCACCGGCTGTAGACACTCATGACCAGCACTTACGAGTGATCAGCTTAATAAGTGAGTAGGGCTAAAGAAAGTTTAACTGCCCATCAGCAACCACTTCGGAGACATAGTATACAATTTACAGCTACAATCAAGGTGTATGGTACACCATTCGAAGTCAGCTCATCCTCCACTATCCTCACCTAGCTTCCTTTTCTTACTAACGCCACTTGTAGCTTTGTTGAACATGCTGTCCAACTTCTGCTGACCTTTCTCGTGTTTCTCTACCTTTACTTTCTCCGATGCCAGCACCGGAGGCAGGCCTTGAACACGCTGCTTGGCATCCTCTAGCAATTCGACTTCTCGGTCACGTTGTTTCTTGACAGTTGGAACGGACCATGAGTTGGACGAGGCGGACTTGTAAGCCAACTTATATTTGGACCCAGTCAGGTTTGTCTCATACGTGTTGGCATCAATCTTCTTGACAAACTAAGAACAGTGAGATAGGCACTCGTGGCTCAGGCTCTGCATGCTATTGGTTTCGAGGTCAAAAAAAGGATAAACGTACCTGGTGTGCTACAATGAGCCAGTGATATTCCGTCCCGACAGGAGCACCGCTACCCTCCGGTGCCTTCCTCGCTCGTCTCTTATTGGTCTGATAATCGATCCGCCATAGATCTGGTTCCTCCTTCGTTTCCTTCCACACGCCTTGGTCATAATTCCAAGTATGAGATCCTCCCACTGCCATGCCCGAGTAGACCTGTCCTTTGTAGGATTTGAGCATGTTATAACCTCCCGCCCCTAAAGCATATTCCGGTCTTCCATGTTGGACGGTGTTTCCCGATTCTTCCGGCATCTCTTCATCTTCGTCAAGGATCACGGGTGACTCAACGTCTTCATCGTGGCGAGGGCTTCGTAGACTACCCATCAAGCCTCTCTCCTGAGCCTCTGATGCCCCAATTCCAGCATCCTCATCCGCCACTGGGGCGTTCTTTTCGGAGAGTGGAGGGGAGGGTGGTTTCTGAGTCGTGGAAGCCGTCTTCCTTACGCGTTTCGGAGGCATGTTGACTTAATTTAACAGATAGTGTATGGTCAGGCAGAGCGATGTATGGGTGTTTAAGGTGGAGAGTGGTACGAATATGATGTGGTGGCATGACGTCATGGCAGCCACCCCAAAATATTTAATTCTTATTGTTGATTTAAATTCCATTCTATTTATAACCTCTCGAAAATTTTGTGGCACATATTTTATCCCATGGGTATACTTCATGGCTTCCTGTAGCTGTACGCGTTAGCACCCTTACGCTATGATATCACATTGTTGTGCAGTAACGACCATCATTTGCAGGACACTATTTGGCGGAGTGCATTCATGCATCCTCATGGCCAGCGACATATGAGAGAGACTTGGGGTAGCGGTGCTCGTGACACTAGTGCAGAGTGTGCTTGAGAGAGAATACAGAGTAAACATATTTTATTTTAGCTCGAGATGGCAGTTTGACGGTGAGATCGCTCACATCTCACACACCCACTGAAGTAAGTGGAGTAAAATTCCATCGATCTTCCCTCCGACGTCATTTCTGCCTGTGAACTTTCGATGTGGAGAAAGAATTTTTTTTTTTAAACTCGGTCAGAGTTATTGGCTAGTATCTCGGGAGCCAACCACGATCTGCGTATGGAGGAAATTAGGGGTTCTTACGGTTGGGACCTCCGAAAAATAATCCAATCCCGAGGATGCGAAGGCCCTAGCATTACCGAATCGGGAAAATTAGATGGACGTGCAGAAGACTTGAAAGAGCCAAAAAGAAAAACCCCACGCAAGACCTCCACTTCTTCTTGCTTGTGACCGACAAACCATCGTCGGGGCCCAACCTCCCTTGAACTCCGTTCTTGGATCTCCATCAATCAGAGCGATCGACATTTTATCTTTTCAAAGGGCATATCGCGGGTGTGGCATCTGCCCTTGCGCACACGCACACGCACACACAAGGTGCCTCGTCCGCCACTATGACTGGGGAAGGATCCATACTGGAAGGAAACTCAGGGAATCCTTGGCGAATAATCTGCAAGTTCGTCTTCTCCCAGGACCTAAACTCTGTTGTTACCCGAAACATCAAAAGGGGTGGACATGATAAATACAGCCATAACCCCCCGGGGGAGTTGACTCTCTTCCCTCTAAAAATTCCTCATAGTCATGTTTGTTATTCCCAGAAGTCATCCAATCCCCCTGCATCTCGGATACCACTACTCTATTCGAAACCCCTGAGCACATAATAGTGCCGCGGCTAACACACATTCGCTTGGATCCTGGTCTCACTACTACATGCGACCCCTCCGTTCCTTCTTCACTTCCTCGGTCCAGTCTCTGCTTCTGCGGAAGTAGCCTCCGTTTACGCCTCGTCGCCGATGCCGATGATCTCTCCTGTTTAAATTCTCACGGCTTCCCTCGTTGACATCGTAAAATTTTCCGCTCGTTCTTCCACCTTTTCTCCCCCCTCGTGACCGGTCGAAGTCACGGGTCTGCCTTCCCATCCCGTGACCGGCATTCCATCACGGGCTGTCAGATTTTACTTTCTCAAGGATCCCCCGAAAGTTAATCCCCGCGTGTCATAAACATGCGCGACATGCCGTCCAGATTTATTGAAATCCTCGACCCCGAAGATTCTCATTTTCGTATGTCTGATGCCGACGTCCGGCTGGAAGATGTCCTCGCGGACCAAGAGGCTATCGCCAGCCGGCCCCGTTCCTCCACGCAATCGTCGACTAAAGCGGGTCTCGATAAAGACCGGCTATATCGGGAGGGCCCATCGTCGCCACAACAGCGGTGGAAACGCTTGAGCATGATCCTGGTCCCTGCGAGACGGGGCTCCAACTAGACCGAGGATTTCTCCTACCACGTTCACGCTAGACGTGATCATCACCATCGGAATATACAATATTCCCGACGGGGATTGAATACAATTTCATGCGCTATGGTTCTTCCCTGTCCAATGAGACCCAAATTAGAAATTGATCTGCCCATGATTATGGTATGCGGATAACGACCGAACGAATACGGAGTACAGCGGTTATGGCATATGGTATTTTACGAATGATTCAGGTTTAGCATACAATTTGGTTGCGTTTACATTCCTGATCCACAGTAGCGGATCTCTTTCTCACAACCCTTGATACCCCCTATGCAGTGTCGACAACATCGTCTTTTGACTGTTTTTTCCCCTTTGCTTCTCGGCGCATATATTCATGAATGTATGCGGTTGAGTACAATTCCTTCACACTCTGCTCGCCACTTATGAACCTATGATTGCAATGCCTTGAAAGAGCGTTTACAATGACTTGCTGGATACACGACGTCATGCTGCCATACAATTAGAATTAAAAGCATACACTGAAAGTTTTGTATTATGTAGAATATCATGGCTACTTTCTTTTTTCTTAATTTACAAAGCAGAACGTGATCCTTCGGAGAGGAAAAAAAAAATTTATACATGCAAAGGGCGGTAGAGCGGACCTTCTCCGGCGTTAGTCCAAAAGTCTTTATGTAACTGGCCACGATTAAAGTTCAATAACACGCCCGAAACCCTGAAAGGCCAAAGTCACCGGACGATACTTACAGTAGATCAGTTACCAATGCCCCCAATGGGCTTCCATCTCTCCAGCTTCGCTGAACTGTTAAGTTGCATATGTGAGTCACCCCACTCACTTCAAGCAGGGTGAGACGGGACTGACCATACCTTACCCAGCGCAGAATAGCTGATCTACAGCAGCATCCACTATTCAGAGAATTATAGTGACGAACAATCGCCATTATCTTCCTTTCAGCAGCAGTTGCCCCAGAACATAGGCCTCCATTTCAAACTGCTTAGCTATGCTTTGGTTCATGATCCACGGGATCTGAACAACTATCTCATTGCCATTGGTGCTACCTGTACCAGAGACTAGCTGACAGTGCAGAACTAAGCTCCACCACCCATTGAAAACAGTTTAGGTCTTCCCTATTTTTGGGGCTCTTGCTGAAATTGATTTTTCTCCAACTGATGGCCCTTTGAGTTCGGGGTGGTCGCATATCCCCACCATGTACATGCTATATACGAAGCGAACATGTTTGTTCCCATAGCAGGAACTCGCTATTTTTACTATGGAAGGACTCAAAAGCCTTCTCACTATACAATATAGTGTGTTTCAAATCTCAAGCAGAATTGAATATCTACTATGCAACGAGGATCATGGCACTTTAATGATAATGCATTACATCAATACGCAAGACTCTGGATACAGTAATAACCCACGTGACTGGTCTTCAAGACTAGCAGCAGAGAAGCCCGAACATAGAGAGCTGATGTGAGAGAAAACTTGAATAGGCTGCGCCTCCAGGCGGCTTTGCTTTCATATTTCCTAAACAGGTTAGTCCCAGTCGAATTCCAAGTCCGGCCTAGCGCCAAGCTATGTAGTGTGCCTCAGGCAATCACAGTGGCTGAAGCTCCAGAAAATTTCCCCTCTTTCGCCGCGCATTGCCCCGACTACTTTTTTTTTTTTTCTTTCTCACATCGGAGATAAGAACGATATTTGCTTGCAAGTGTCTCATTCTTTAAGGGTCTGTTTTTGCGCTCAAGTCACTAGATCTGTTTGCGTATATCCTAGGTAGGACATTTGCCCTTTCTGCTGAATTAATTCTGCGTCCTCCGCATGGCTCTGGCGAGGATTGCGAGTCGTTGTCCTTGTCCAAAGAAACGGATTGACTCACGTGTAGAGATGGCTCCGCGCTCTGCTTTGCAATGCCTTTTATCTACTTTCTCATAGACCGAATCATTGATCTGGAAAACGCGTGTCAATATTTGCACTAGCTAATAATTGACAATTAGGAGTCGCGCATTTGACTGTATCACTTTTTCTCCGTTGACCCCCTCATCTCCCTTGTCGCACGACAAAATCACGCATTCACCATGTCTGCCGAACAGAACGTCGCCAACACCGAGGCCGAGAAGGACGTCCAGAATGTCCTGGCCGAATTGAAGGGTGGCGCCGAGACTAACGCCGAGAAGAAGGAGGAGCCCTCCACCGAGGACGCAGAGGAAGCCCGTATCGTCGCAGCCGCCGCCCAGCTCGGCGAGAAGTCCGCAAAGGCTGAGGAGGACAAGGAGCGCGAGAACCGCGGCCGTGGACCCCGTCGCAACAACGCCAAGTTCGACCCTTCGTCTCAGAAGGAGACCGACGACCCTGTCGAGATCCGCAAGCAGGTCGAGTTCTACTTCTCCGACTCCAACCTCCCCATGGACAAGTTCCTGCTCTCCAAGGTCGGTGGTAGCCAGAACCGCGCTGTTCCTTTGGAACTCCTGCACTCTTTCAAGCGCATGCGTCGCTTCCAGCCTTTCAGCGCGATTGTTGAGGCGCTGAAGACTTCCGAGGTTCTGGACTTGGTTGATAACGAGACTGCCGTCCGCCGCAAGACTCCTCTTCCCGAAACTGTTACCGAGACCCATGACCCCAGTGTTGTGAAGGTTTTCGAGGATAAGGCTATGGACCGCAGCATCTACGCTAAGGGATTCGGTGAGGAGGGTCCCACCACCCAGCTGGAGATTGAGGAGTTCTTCGCCCCCCACGGCCCTGTCAACGCCATCCGTCTCCGTCGTGCCAACGACAAGACCTTCAAGGGCAGCGTCTTCGTTGAGTTCGAGTCCGAGGAGAAGCAGAAGGCATTCCTCGCTCTGGCACCCAAGCCCCAGTGGAAGGGCCAGGATCTGAACATCAAGAGCAAGAGAGAGTACTGCGACGAGAAGGTGCGCGATATCGAGGCCGGCCGCATCAAGCCCAGCGGTAACCGTCCCCGTGGCCGTGGTGGTTTCCGGGGCCGTGGCCGTGGCCGCCAGAACGATAACCGTGACTGGAGGGAGCGTCGCGCCGAGGACCAGAAGCGCGGTTTCAACGGCGACAAGAAGGAGGAGCCCAAGGAGCCTCGCGAGATCCAGAAGGACGCTCGGTAAGCATCCATTACTACCCCAACGAGAAAATACCAACCAACTAACCCAAACACAGCGGTGTCCCCGTCGTACAGAGCACTGCCGACGCTGGCCAGAAGCGCGCCCGTGAGGACGACGCCAACGGCGACCACCCGGCCAAGAAGGTTGACGCAAAGGAGTAATGATATGCGACTGATCTGTGTATTTTTTTTTTTCGATAGAGAATTGTTTCACATTGACGGGATGTAAAGCATAAGTATCATACTGACTTGGCTGGGCTTTCAATTTTTTTTTTTTTTCTTTCTTCTTTTCTTTCATGCTGGCACTTGGAATTTAAAAAAGGATTCTGACGTGGGACTTATAATGGCGTTGTGTCAAGTCTATTATTGCTGTTCATAAGACAAACAAAAGTTTCATATTCCTTCCATCTTCATAAACAGTCCTAGAAAAGATAGGAAGAAAGATAGGAAGGGAGATTTACTCCTCAAACTCCAGATCATAAGCCAAGGTATCCTCACACAACTCCTCCCTCAACTTATGGACCCTATGCCATTCGATGTCAGCACACCCAACCTCAACCACCCAACCTCCAACCTCAAAACCAACTCCAAAATCAAAGAGAGAGAAAGAACATACTCCAAATGCGCCGGATGCGCTGCATAAACAGCAACATCCTCCTTTTTATCCAAAATGGCCACAAGCCCCATATCAAAGCCCTTGGCGCGGGGCACAGAGATCGGCAACGGCGGGTTAGTCTTCAGGGACCGGAGACCGGGGATCTGGCCGACCATTGCTTGGGATATTTTGGTCCAGTTTGCTAGTTGGGCGGGTGTGACGCCTTGTTTGAGACGGAAGAGGACTATTCATGTGTTTTTTATTTCCTTGTTAGTACTGTACTGTAGTGTGGTTTGGTTTGGCTTGGTTTGAGTTGGTTTTGGGGGGTATGGGAGATGAGAGTTAGTTGTATGTAGGGGTTGGGTTGTGTGGTGGATGGTGGTGGGGGACGTACCGACGTGGTAGACTGGCATCTTTCTTTTTCTTTTCTTTTCTTGTTCTTTGGGTTTAGGGACGATGTTGGGTTTGGGGGGCTGTGAGTGTTTTGGGGAGAAGTGTGAGGTTGGGGTATGACTGGCTTTATTTACATGGGTTTAATGAGGGGAGAGAGAGCGTCGGGGAATGAATGTCCGGGGATGAATCATTCCTCGGGCTGACTCCGATGTTCGATCGGGTAGTCCGGTTTGGGGACGGATCTAGTCTAAGACTTTCATTCATTTTTGGATTAATTGTTTTGATCGAAGTTTGAGTTACTATTACTATTATGTAGGATATGTTGTCCTGTGAAAGAAATGGTAGATTGTTATTCCAATCGGTATCATGAAGTCATATCAATATAGCAGTGTCTAACTATTTCTTCTTCTTGGTCTTGTCCACCACGTCGATCCATTGCGTCCTCAGACCTCGTCGCACAAGGGCCGTTTCCAATGCGCGTCGCTGATCGCCCTGTACAAGCACCTCCATGACACCTTTTGGAGCGCCGTTGGCCTGTGCTACGCTCGTGCTACTGGCACACTTCTTCTGGAGCTCCTCAGCCAGTAGACTGGGGATGATGCCGAAAACCTCCAGGTTTGACACCTTGGTGACGGTCTTCGAGCCCGTGCGGCGCTCCAGAATCACCGTTACCTTCGGGGCCGCGCCGGGTTTGGGCTTCACGTCTGCTAGAGTCTGTCCCGCTCGGAGAATGGCGTAGTGTGCGGTCATCAGGCTGTTGTCTTCCACAATGCGTTTCAGAAGTCCATCACGGGTCGTCTTTCTCCGTGCAATCGTACTCTTGTCCTCGGAGGAAGAGGTGGTGAAGATGGTGTTGGCGAGGAAGGGGTTGAGGGAAATGATGCGGCGGTTCAGCTTGTCGATGATGGGAGGGTCTTGAGATTGGAGGTACTGGTCGAGATGATTGGACACATCGGAGTATTTGTAGTAGTTCTGAGGGTTGGTGCTGGACAAGGCTGGGAATATTGTCGGGGTCAGCTTCTGCGTGGGTCGATACAGTGTCTGAACTGTGAGCGTTTGGCCAACAGCAGGATCACCGCCCGTGGCTTCGGGCTTCTTGTTCGCCGACGCGGCAGGCTTCTTAGCATTCTCAAGGGCAAATTTGGAGGGAAGCCGGTACGGGACAAACTGCTCGACGAGGCGGTCATTGAAGTCCACATCTAGGATAATAGTCTCTTGGCCACTCCGATCCTTGGACTTGACAAGTTGTTGCTTATCAAGATACTTGATGAACTTCTTGACATTCTTCCAGCTGGTTTTCTTGATTTGATAATATTGGGCTTGCTGCGCGGAGAAGATCGGGAGGTAGGGTGTAATCATATTCGAGATCAAGAAAGAGGGCTGGACGGGAAGGGACAATCCGTGATTGGGAGCAGATGGGTTGTCCTGCTTAAGCTTATACAAGGAGTAGATAAAGGCCTTCGTGAAGGCTTCGTCGATTTCTGTGCAACATTAGCCATCTGAGAAGGTGAAGTGGAGTTTGATTAGGACCTACCTTTCGTCGACGGCTCCTTTTCCTCTACCGGAGCTGGTTCGTCAAGCGGTGCTTCTGCAGATCCAGCTGGCTCTTGGTTACCCGGCGCTTGAGGGTTTTCGCCCTCGTCCAGGGTCAGCTCGTCAACCTTTTCTTTGATTTCTTCTACCTCCTCGTCACCTTCCATCTCTTCCTCATCCCAGCCCGGCAGATACTCCGGCGCTGGTTGACCGGGACGCGACGACGAGCTCCAGGCCCATAACTCATCGCCCTCCCAATGTAGACCTCGAACCGCATGGCCCTTAGTACCTTGTACCTCCCCTAAAGCCGAGACATCGATCTCGCATACTCCAACGAAAAGCGGCACGGTGTGTCGATCCAAGCTAGCGACCGCAACTACAGCCCCCTCAACCGCACGCTTGGGGAAGGGCGGCTCGTTCGCGAGACCTGGGGTCATCAGGTCTGCTCCTCCGTGTAGTTTGCGCATGACCATCTCCGGGGTGTATAACAACGGTACTAGGTTGGGATTATTCCATAAGGTATAGACTGTGGGGTAGAGACGGCCATCAGCGCCGGGTCCATGTTCGAGCTTGAACCATAGGATGCGTTCCTCCCCTCCTGGATGTGACCCCACGTATACGGTGCCCTGTACCTCTCGAAGCTGGGGACCTGCAGTTGTTGTAAAGCGTGCTGACAACGAGTTATCGGGAAGGAGGGCATTCCGAATAGATGTAAGGTTCGGCGCGGGGTTGGACGCTGTCGAGTCTTCGCCGGCAGGCGCGCTGGAAGGGATTTCGATCTTATAGTCGCTGATTATTTGATCGGCGATTTTTCGACGGTCAGAAGACCGTAAGGGCGATAGATTTTTGATCTACTTGCTGTTCAGCCTCATATTTCCTCTGAAATTTCTTGCGCCGTTCATGGCAGAGCTGTAGACAGGCTTCGGCGAAGCAATGCGGGGGAGGGGTACTCACCGTAGGCTTTTTCTTAAACATGGTGGAGAATTATGAGAAGGGAACGGTTGAGAAATACAACAAAAACAAGTATATTTTGGCCGATACCATGCACTATAGCAAATGCGACCGTCGGCCAGGGCTTGAGAGGAAGAGCTGGTGGTAAAGAATTAAATGACAGAACCATGCAATTGTTTGTCCCGCAATAACAATCGGCCGCTATTCCCCATTCATCGGCAATCACCTGTCGCTTTTTGCCCTATGAACACACCGCTTCAAAGGGCGACTCGACGTCCATTAAATTCTGGTGAATCCCCAGGCTTGCAACGCTTTTATTGCTACAATGATGTCGCCATATGGAGGTGAGACCTGCAGGCTTAACTAGAGGACGTAATTTGATAATGAAGTTTACGAGTGATCACCAGTCGATAAATTACCGAACAGATCAAGTTAGCACTGCTCAAATACATGACCATCGTCTGTAACAAAAGGCAGGGAAGTTCTATCGAAGACTTACACGGGAATGATTTTAACATTTTGCGTAACAGGATCTGCTAGTGGAACAAAAATAAAGATGAAAAACCAAAATGAATGTGGCTCATCTACTAAGTATTTTGATCTTTTACAAGATCTGCTGACCTACACCTTAAACGTTCAACTGTAATAGTGCAATGTATAAATTTTTTTCCTAGTTACACAAATTTGGATTCCGGATCCTCATCAAGGCAAAATAGTAGTTCAACGGTGGAAAGATCGAATATAAAGTCTAAAGAATGTCTATTCGGTCCGAAACCACTTCACGGTGACAAATCTATGCAGAGATGTCACGAGCGTGGATCTTGTCGGTGACGAGCCAAGAGAGAGTCTGCTTGATAACGTTCAAGAGCTCGTCAGCGCTCAGAGAGTTGAAGTAGTCGGTCAGGTCGCCGGAGCTGGAGCTGGAGCCAGAGCCAGAGCTGGCGCCAGAGCTAGCGGTGGGAGTGGAAGCAGCAGCCGAAGAGCTGGTGGCCTGGACGTGGGTCTGAGCGGGAGCAGAGCCAGTGACAGTGACGCTGGCAACAGCAGTGGAGGTCTGGTAAGCAGTGGCGGTGCTAGTCTGGACAGGAGCAGCAGTGGCAGAAGCAGAAGCACTGGCGGTAGCGGAGGGAGCGGCGCTGGAGCTGCCGGAGGAGCCGGAGGAGCCGCCAGAAGAGCCGCCAGAGTAGAGAGCAGGGCCGGGGATGGTGTAGGAGGACAGGGTCTGGTAGATGTTGACCAGGATACCAGGGTCGGTGTCCTTGTAGAGAGCAGTACCAAGGGTACCCTCGGGCTTGTCGCTACCACCGCCGGTGACCTTGAAGTTGAGACACTGGGGGTAGTTCTGAGCGCCATCCTTGTTGCCAGCGGAGTGAAGGGCAATGATTTCGTGACGCATAACATAGTTGCCGGCAGCAATGCTGCTGGGGATGGTCACGGTCCAGCTGTTGTTGCTGGAGATCAGGTTGTCGGAGGCCCAAGTGTTGTCACTGCCGCTGATGAGGCCCTTCTCATCGATCTTGAAGAACTCGAGCTGGGTCTTGTCGACGGTGGCGCAGTCACCGTTGCAGTTGGCGAGGTAGGTGATGACAGGACCCTTGTGACTCTCGGGCCAGTCAGTCCACTGCAGCTCGACCTGCTTGCCAGCAGCGATCTCAGCAGAGATAGCGCCGTTCTTGGCGTTCTTGTGGCAGATAATGTCGGCATCGGCATATGAGCTACCGTCAACGAATCCGAGGTCGGTGGCATCGGTTGACCATCCAATGACCTTGGGGGGGTCGGACATGTAGTGGTAGGACATGTCATATCCAGAGTAGTACTGTCCGTCAACGACAGCACCAGAGACGTAACCGTGACCGGCGACCAAAGCGGCCGAGCCGAGGACGACACCAGCAATCTTAGCGATAGACATTTTGATATGTGAAGTTTTTGAACTGATCAACGCGCAGCGCTTCTCGTGGTTTGAAAGGACCGAAGTGGGAAGGGATGAAAAGAATGGTCTTCAATCAATGAAGACAGTGTAAGAAAAGGAAGAGAATGGCAGGTTCCAAGACCCTAAAGAAAGAAAGGAATGTAAAGCTGATGAGGAAGAGAAGAATACATTAACCATCATCGCGAAATGACTGCTTTTATAATGCCGTCTGTCATAGTCTTCAAGATGTCGAGACTGGGCTAACGCTCAGACCAGACTGCTTCGAAATTAATGAAGGTTCATTGTCGATAGCTCTGCTACACATAGATTAAGTCCAGCACCCAGCTCCACTACCGGTCTAATTTTCCGATAGGAGGAGATTCACCTCGATAGCGATAGTGCTGTGAAAGAGTCTGAGATTGATGAAAGACAAGCACTTGCCTGCAGGTCCACCAATGCCCAAGGAATTTTAGCGTCCAAGGGCGAGACGCTCCGCCAGGAACATTGACTATTTGGGAGCTAGTGTCACCCATACCAGGTAATGGAGACAGACAATGTAGGGTTCGGGCGTTTACCCTAACGGTTTGCTACCGACTGGGCGGCTGGGCCGTGAGTGGAGGCGTGGGGCCTCCTCAGACTCCCCTAGGCGCTTGCCTCTGACAGTCTAGGTTTCAACTTCGGGATTTTCACTTGGTCTCTGGAATGCCAAGAATTAAGTTCCCCCCTTCGTATGACGAGATGCAATTTCCTGCTCCTCTATACCTATACTCAAACTCTACTATGCCATGCGGAATAATTATGGACGTGACACTACCAAGAGATTCTATTTGCCATTCGGGCACTTACTGTTCGTTCGGCATTTAGGGCTTTTTTTCCCCACGTGTTATGCCGTGCCTTTTAATGTTCGTAAAGAGTCTCAATGATGATCTCTTGATATTTGACGTCTACTAGTACTAACCAGGCCGTTTCAAGAGTAAAGTCTCCGGCTCCTTCTTAATCACGTTGTTCCCACCACGTGGACTGCGATAGATAAATATGTTGCCGCACTGATGGAAGGAGTAAGAATAACTAATTCCTACCCCCTATACTCCCTAATTACTTGGGCATGGCACCATGCCAGTCACCACATTGCCACCGAATGCAAGGTTTCGAAGTACTACGCGCCTGGCTGCTGGATTAGGAAGTGTATAAATTAAATCGCAGGGGCCAATTCATCAATCCTTGGCAATAATTATATATAGTTTCAATTAGTATACCACTATGGACAGGACAGGTCCATTTTTCCGGCACGGATCACCGCCGAGTCAGTTACCTCTAATTTTTCTAATTAGGGCTATCCAGTGAACTCCGGAATTGACACAACCTAAAAGGCTAAATCAAGTCTTTACTCTATTTAAAACGGACATTTTCTTCGCTTCCGTGTGCCATTCTCGTATTATTGGCTTGGTCTTATCAAGAATGCCGCTGGACACGGTCTTGTGGTCTGGACGCTGTTAATATATGGAGTGGGACCGGAATGCATAGGGTGAAACACCTCACGACCGAGAATACTGAGATGTCTGATTCTGGTGCCCTCGTCCGAGTTCCTGATCCGCGGCATGTGCGGGATTACAGAGACTGGCTGTGCATTCAAACTACCCGTTAAGCCGTCAATCTCAAACTCCTGAGTTATAAAGGACTTGGTTATATGGATTAGTCCATGAGCCTTGGCCGGCTTATCTTCGGGGACATCTCGTACTTATTTTATGCAGTCGTTAACAGCATCCTCAAATTTCGTTGTGGACTCCTTACCAAACCGATATATCTACCTTTTCTCTTCTCCTCGGCATCCCCTCCTTGGCCTGAGTTTTTTTGCTTCTCCTCAAACGGAATTGAGAGATACCTGGTGACGCCCCGGTGTTATACAATAATTGACTTAGGGGAGTGGCCACTCGACACTAGAAAATAGTACTATTATTGCTACTTCTACGCGCTTGTTTCCTCCTTTTCTTAATTCTTCTTTTTCTTCTTCCTCTCTCTCTCTCCTCTTCTTCCTTCAACCCTAGCCTCACGCTCGTAGTCCAGACTTACCTCGAGATACTCTTCCACGACGTTGATTCAAAGGCTCGGTCACACCATTACACAGCCTCGGAGAAACCTATAACCCCTGCGCTACCCCAGACAAGTTAGGATGGAATCGATGCGAAACTGGCCATAACCATATAATCTAGTGCCGTCATTCGTACACTGAAAGCTCTGAGAGCATCTAACTCGCCGCGCGGAAAGATATAACTGAAGGTCTGATGGATAAGGAGATATACGACAAACAGAACACAAACTGCCCCGTTCATGTACAGCAGGGATCTGTTTGCGTTGATAAGAGTATGATGAATGAACTCGACAAATGACTCATTATATAACATGCATGCGTAATATGTAATGTCGATGACTTGAGTATTCTGGGTAGGTAAAGGGGGGCGAAGATCATCCTGAGTAAGCAGGTGGCTCTGTCATCACTGTGTACGGACTCTACGGGGTATCAGAAGCCAAACCTCAGCTCCTGTAGAGAGATGCATCTCTTGCCGAGGTGATATACAAATCATGATTTGCCAACGAACGACGCTCGTGTTTGCTTCTGATGATGTCAACCCTGATATGATGAAAGTATGCTAGTCACAGTTACTCTGCATACACATGCCTTTGTCATCAGTGTTGTTACAGGGACAGTCTACTCTGGAAATGTTATCCGGGTGGTAATAGCACAACTAGTTGCAGTACTAGTTATGTTATTCGCTGCGCAGAAGCGATCTACGACACTTGTTACTTAACTCTTGTCGACTTGACCCCGCGAGAACAAGTTTTCTGAAGGTTGCCTAGATAGTATAACTTGCTAAAATGGTTCGTATGCGGGGAAAGTCTTGAGATTATATAGCGCGATGTCGGCATTCTTAGCAATATATATCTGCCAAATGAGCGGTTAATTTCTTCCCGTCGCCAAACAAAGGAGACATTCGTGGGTGGAGGCCCATGCTTTCTGTATTGGCATTTATCTTTGTGTTTTGAGACATTTTAAATAAATTCACGCTTTGAGGTTAAGGTATCTAATGTGTGAAGACCTGCCAATGGAGTATATCATCGTTACCTATTTGTAATTCCTGGGGCAACGAAAGGATAACCTGAGTCATGACTGAGGCATTCATTTCCTGGTAAAGCTTACTAAGGAGTTACCTAATCCTAGCCCTGACAGCCAACCAAAATCTGGCAACCTAATTGACCTTTGGGCGGACATGTGTGGCTGATCGTCTAAAGGGGTTTAGCGGCACTCAACCCGCCCGGCTCACCGCGAAGTTGTCATTTGTTCCCGGGACAGACTCTGATTCACGATAACACCAGCCATCTGGCCCTCCCTGTACCCATCTCCCCGTGCACTTACCTTGGGTCTCTGCGCTGGATCTTCGTCCAGATCTCCTACTCCAGCGCTGGGTCTTTGCAGAAACACTGTTATCTGTATTATTGCCCTCCGATATCTACCGCCCCTCGGACACTCGCCGCTCCAGAGTCGGTCTGGTTTTCCCACTCTCACTTTCCCCTTTACGAAAGCGCCGCGCCTCCGTCTCCGCTCTTTACGCCCCATCTCACCGTCAACACTTTCGCCCACAGGAAGTTAACAATCCGTATTGCCAACTCGGTGACCACGGACCGCTTTGCAATTCGCTTAGATGGATAAAAGTTGTCGGTAGTGGAAGAGGTTGAACAGCGCGCGTGTGTGAAATTAGTGTTAAATCGATTGATCATTTATCGCCTCCCTTCTTTGTACCTATTTGCCCGAACGAAATTGTTACCTGAAGGGATTCGTCCTGGGGAGTGGGATCATACCAAGAGACTATCGAGGCCACCGACAGACCTCCAGCTCTTGGTTTTCTACTTGCAATTCCTGACGGGATTCGAGGATGGGACCGGCGGAGGCTGCGTCTTCACCCACTTTTCCTGCCTTGGATCCGATCGTCGTTGATAACGAGATGGATAACCCATACCAAGATACCAATCTAGACTTCCTTGACTCTGCGCGATTGCAGATGTCGTCTGAAAACGCTGGCCGGGATTTCGACGATCTCTTCGCCCATTCCACCTCGTCGCGCACCGTCACCGAATCGGGGTCTGTGTGTTTGTCGCCTTCGGATTTGTCCCTTAAGCGGCCATACCAAGATCAAGATACATTACGACAGCCAAATCTTGTGAAACCAGATTCCCCGGCGGAGTCCCCAGAAGCCTCAAGCCGCAGTTCCTCGTCGGAGTCACCTCGGGATCATCTTCGGAACGCTTCAGTAGCCTCATCTGCATCGGCGATTCAGAGCGAAAGTCATATCATGCCATTCGGGTACACGTCAGAGGATTGGCTCGGCCATGATTTAGGCTCAGTCAAAGAAGAGTCGCTGTTTGGGTTTGACCCTTCTTCCATAGGCAGCATGGATGGTGCTTTCCCAGATTTGGAGTCGAGTAACAAGGCCATGGATGCAGCTTTTGATTTTGAAAGTGCCGCTAGTAGCCCTAGCCCCTTGAAGATTGAATCTACTCCGCAGCCGACATCGCAGAAGAGCTTGAGAACACAGTTCCGCAGTACATCGGCGTCAAAACGATCCGCCTCTCCGGTAAGATCTTTTAATCACGATACCATAACAGGGCACCTTTGCTAAAGTTTTCTAGCAGTTTCACTCGACGGGATCACCGTACCTCCGCCACAACACTAAAGAACCCTCTCCTTTCGCAGTCTCCGGTTTACCCAGTCAAGGCAAGTCACCCATGAACCAATGGGCTGGCCGGTCACCTTCTTCGCTCCTAGAGGAGAGCTTCGGGGGTATCAATATGAACGCCAGCTCGCCCTTGAACTCCAACTTGAACTTTGTTCCAAACAACTTTACCAACTTCGGCCTCAACTTCGCACCATCCCCTCCGCAAAGCAACACGAAGTCGGAAACAACGCAGCGTCATGTTCTGACCGTTCATCCTACATCTCTCAAGTCGCGTGTAGAGACACAGATTCCCATCAGGTTAACTCTATTCCCGTTGCCCACCGGCGTGAAGAAACTTCGCTTGCCAAGTCACACCATCTCCAAGCCGAAATTCCTTGCGCCAGCGTCGGCTGACCGCGCTCTGGACACCCTAGAGCTGCACACAAGTCTTGTTTGTACGAGTGCAATGCAAGATCAGGAAAAGCTGAAGAAGGCATTTGCGCGAGCAAGAGGAGAACCGCGCTACCGTTCCTCCAGCTCGAGCCCTCATCCTGTCGATGACGTACAGGAAGATGATAAACCTTTAGACGGTGGAGAGGTTAAGATTTGCTCTGGATGCATACAGCGGGAACGGAAGCGAGCTTTTCGTAAGAAGCAGAGGAAACCAGAGGAGGATGAGCTCTTCCAGAAAGATGAAGAAAAGAGGGTCATTGTGTTCAACACTAATGAGATCAAGGATTGGACTGAGCCTTCTAAGAATGCCATGCCCAATTATGGTGACATCCCGAACCCAGCCGTCCCTGCGGGGGCCATGCAGGTAGAGCTACCCATGCGAATTGCATGCTACTGCAGACATCAAAATGAGAAGCTGGGATTTCAGTAAGCGAAGCCCATGTTATTTATCAGATCTATGACTAACTATCCTTTCTAGGGTCATCTTCACAATCACGGATTATAAGGACAATGTTATTGCCCAGGCGATAACGAATTCAATCATGATCACAGATGATCACAAAACCCATGCCCCTCCTGCTCCTCCGGCACCCGGCCCTTCGCCCTCTTTACCTGATGGAACGCAGTTGCCGGGTGTTGGTGTGTTCCCGTCCGGTCCAGTCCTCGACAATGGAAAATCGTCTAGTTCATCGCAGCCATCGTCTGCCACAGATCTGCAAGGGCTCCAGCAGAGGTTCAATACGCAGTATCAACTGAACTCAGGGTCTTTTGCAGTGCCCCAGAATTCCACGCATGGCACAACCTCGTCTACGTCACGCAGTCTTTCACGTCAAACGTCACCGAACGACTTCCAAGGCCCGATGAGCAAGAGACGTAAACACAGTAATTCTGGAAGACTTCCATCCGAGCTAACCATGACAAAACTGGACAACGCGCAATCATCCACCGCCGTCTCTGGCACTCCAGCCCTTAACAACGATTCGCCGTTCTCCGCACCGCGCGGATTTGCCTCGCCTGTTGAAAGGCCTTTCGTGACAGCATCAGCCATGTCTGGTCAATTCCCGAACAGTCCTCCGACTCCTAGTAGTGGCGACAGCAATCCTTTCTTCAACCCTACCTCACAGCAGCAAAGCCTGGATAGTTTTATTCAACAACAATTGATGTCGGCACCAAATTCCGCTCAACCAAGCCGTCCTGGAACCCCCGGGCCCTCTACGCGGAACAACTTCCAAGAGCAAAACCTTAATCTTCCATTGGGCCCCAATACGTCAACCCCAATGTGGCCTCCTCTCACGAATGCTGGAAACCGGTTGCCTTCCGTCATTCACAAGTTAGTTCCAGCCGAGGGCTCCATTACGGGAGGAACCGAAGTGACGCTCTTGGGAAGTGGGTTTTATCCCGGCATGGAAGTTGTCTTCGGCGACACCCTGGCTACAACCACGACCTTTTGGGGTGACAAATGTCTCAACTGCTTGACCCCACCTGCACTCCAGCCTGGACTGGTTGCAGTCGTCTTCAAGCATGAGCATCCCACGTTTGGTCAGGTGCAGACGCCTCAACCTCTGATGCCGAAACAGCAACAGTTTTTCCGTTATGTGGATGACCGGGAGCTACAAATGTATCGACTCGCTCTGGGTATACTCGGACAGAAACTTGGCAGCCAAGCGGATGCCTTCCAAACTGCTCAGCAAATCATGGGTAGCGACCCCAAATCCGTTTTCGGTCTGCAAAAGGACTTCCAAGGGGGCTCGGGCGGTGGCCATCAGCGGCAAGTGCCCGGATTAGAGTCACAGGGTAAATTAGGTGACATGGATTCCAAGATGTTGACCTACCTCGAATTTGTCGATCTCGACGATAGCCCCCGCCCGCCGAAGTACAATTCCCGCTGCGCCACGGGCCAGACCCTCCTTCACTTTGCAGCATCCTTGGGGCTGACACGGTTCGTTGCGGGACTGCTTGCTAGAGGTGCCAATCCAGACGTGCAGGACAACACCGGGAATACGCCCATGCACCTGGCCGCCTTGAACGGCCATGCCCACATCGTCAACAGGCTCCGTCTGGCTGGTGCTAATGTCAATACCCGTAGCATTCGCGGTTTTACTCCCGCTGACATTGCTTCCACCCTACCCGCTCATCAAGCTGCTTTGGTTCCAGCGCAGCATCGCCGCTCACGAAGCGTTGGGTCATTGGCATCGTCGCGACGCAGACACAGTAGCTCTGCCTCCCTTCATTCGCTGTGGGAGTCTTCCTCGGGTTCGTTCGATGAAGCCATCGACGACTCGGATGATCTCGATGACGATGACAGTGATGACGTCGAATTTACAGTGTCACGGCGGTCAAGCATGCATCACGATGTGCCGGCACCGCTCCCTAATGTCGAACAAGCTTCGGCGCCTGAGGACGTGCGACCATTCTCTCCGCCGGCCGCCCTTGTCGCTTGGCGGAATCAGTTACAGACCCAGATCAATCAGTTCCAGCAAAGCGTGGCTAATGCGTTCCCTAATCTTCCCGCATTGCCGCCAATGCCGGCTTTGCCTGACTATCAAGCGCACCCGATGATGCGTCGCATTACCAACCTTGTTCCACACAGGCCTTCCACCGCGCGGTCGGCTAAGGAAGGCTGGTGGGACATGCTAACAGGCAATTCTGCCCCCAATACCACGGAGCTGCCGTCCTACGAAGAACTGTACCCTCAACAGGATGATCAGGGTGACGAAAATGTGGCCCGTATGAAGAAATCGAGCATGTTACAAGCCGCTACAGATGCAGTTTTGGATCAACATTTCGAGGCACAAGCCAGTGCGCAACCCAGCACATCTCGCACAGTCACTGTGAACCAGGAAAATGAGCATCTTAAGGATATCCGCATTGGCAAAAGGGTGATCTCTCGCGAGCAGCAAAAGCATCTCCGGGAACAGCAAGCACAGAGGATGAAGGGTCTTGGTAGCGATCGCAACCTGTATTTTATTTGGGTAAGTCGGCCTGCTAGCGCATATTTCCGTACTATTTCGAGTCTCGCCGTTACTGACTGCTCTTAGATTCCCCTTCTGGTTCTGGTTATCTGCGCCTGGGCTCGAAGCTATGTTCCAGGCATTTGGCAAGGATTATCGAGTGGTATTGAGTTTGTGAAGACCCGCTATGCGCAGCGCGCGTTGGATCTTGGAGTTTAGATACTCACTTTCTCTCTTTTCTTCCTTTATTTCCCCGTTATTTCCCTCCCTTTCCCTTAATTTTCCTTTTTGCGGTCTGTTATTTCAAGCTCGGGCGTTATGTCCTCTAGGCGGGTGACATCATCGGTTTATTACATTGTTGTTTGGTTCGCTGTTTCGACATAATGATGGGATACGATTAGGTGTTTTGCACTGTGAGCATTGTTCATTTGAAATATTGTACAGAGCTGTTGGTTTTCGCATGATCGGGTCATCCTGGTTGTGAGGGAAGTCCATCAAGCAATGGTGAATATCTACTGTGTATATAGTTCCCTATTAATTCAAATAGAGCTTTTGAAGATACCGTGGTTTTTAGATAGGATATGCCTTTGCGAGTTTGCCATGGTGCTCATTTTGCCTTTTTTTTTTTTTTTTTCCTACAGTAACCGTGTAGATATGAAGCATACGAAGCAATGTAGATAAAGTCCACCGTAGGAGAAATGCCAAGAGGGAGCCGCAACGCGGAGAAGGCGGTCTCCGTTCTCGAACAACAACAGCCTGTTACTAGTTCCTTTCCCCGAACTCACTTTATTCGCCGTTTCCAGATACTTTTGCCGGTTAGGAATTTTGGATTGCTCCAACGGCATGCTTCTTGGGAGCTAGTCCTCTCTGTCACCGCCCGAAAGCCCCTCGGGAAACATGGATCCCTCACCGCAGGCGGGCTCAAGCAGTGTCACCGGTGTGTGAAGACCGCAACGGTCCTAGCAGGGTTGCATACTGACCGATCTGGATCTTCAGTCGAATATACCGACCCCTCCGGCTTGTTCCCCCTCGTTCAACCTGTTCTTGCGAACAAACTACCCCTGAAGAACCTCCACTGGAAGTCGCCTACCCGCCCCGTTCGATCCATCGAGTCCCTCCGCATCGGCTTTGTCCCTGCCCAGAATGAGGCCAACGAGCGCAAGTCCTCCGGCGATAGCGCAGTGCCGCACCGACGTCACCAAATCCCCGGCCTCCGTCAGACCCCCTATCTAAAGATCTTCCTCTTACGCTGCGATGATAATGACACCTATAAATCAACCGCCAGGAAGGCATTGCGCGAATGGATCAAGTCTCATGCCTCGATGTCGCAGTCCACCACAAGCCAGGAAAAACATGACGCATGTGAATGGTTGATCCTACATGTTGTGCAAGACGGAGATGGCGCGGAAAAGACTATGCCATCCTCCAAGTGGGGTCGCGCCACTACGACGGTCCTGGAGAAGGTCAAGGCTGATTTCAATGGCACTTCGAAGTCCGCCGTGGACCGGGTAGCTCAATTGCGTCTACCTAAGCAAGGAACCACGCAGAAACCACCTGATTTGGCTGACCAGCTGGAGGACTTGATTGAGAAGATCAAGAATGGTATTCTCGCATCATTCGATCTTCGCGTGGCGCAATACGAGGAGGACATCAAGGAGAAAGATTCCCAGAGAAGTCTGCCTGGGTGGAACTTTTGCACGTTCTTTATCTTGAAGGAGGGTCTTGCGCGAGGTTTCGAAAACGTAGGGTTGTTTGACGATGCGCTACTTGGATATGATGAACTTTCCATTGGACTGGATACTGCCATTGAGGAACAACTTCAAGGCAGCGGAGAGCCACACGGTAGTACCTTTTTGATGCACACCGAGGATTGGCAGAAGAAGGCCAAGGCAGCCTTGGAATCCCCAGCATCTCCGAAGGACGAGGAAGATGAAGAGCCAATCCTGATTCCCGAGCTCGACGCGGACGATTTCCCCATTGACTCGAACAAGAAGGCCTACCGGGAGATGATTCTTGGAAGCAATATCTCTATTTTCGATTTCCGCGCCTACATTTTCTCGCGACAATTAACTCTACTCCTCAGGGCGGCGAAGGCTCCCTCGCTACTCAATAAGGAGCCCGATACCGGTCAAACGCGAGCCAATACGAATAAGAAGCCCGAAAACTTAATGCTACTTTCAGAGATCTGCGAAAGGGCGACGGAGTTCATTAGCTTTGCCGCACGCAACCTCAGATACGATCTGGAATCGGGGCTTGCCGATGTAGACAATGCCAGAAAAGCGGAGGTTATCAACAATCTGGTGTCGTCCTGGGCATACGCTGCTGCATTGCAGATTCTATCACAAACGTCCACTCCGACGCTTACTCTCCCAGAGTCTTCATTGCATGCTATCACTTCCCCAGCAGACACTGCTAGAGAATCCAGGCCAGAGTTGCCCCGGCGCAGCAGTTCACTAGTTAGCCCACCCAAGACCCGTCCCGGTCGCTCCAATACGGATATTCTATCCCCAGATGCACTGTCATCTGTTCATTCTGGACTAGGCCAAGGAATACCCAAACTTGCGCTCGCTCCGGCTCCGAAGACTGGGTCCGAACAGCTGTCTTCCGCCAGAGGGGAGTTGCTGCTTATGGCTCGCCGGGTGATGGAAGAGATTGCTGGGCGTTGTGGATGGAGGGAGAAGTGGGATGATCTCGGCCTACTCTTTGATAGTGACAATACTGGCAATAGTGATATGACGGAAGTCTCTCTAGATGCCGAGGTATCGCAGCCAGCAGAACAGCCGCAAACAACTCATTACCTCTCGGGTATCGAATTGCCCCAGTTAAAGGCTGCTCTCCGCTCAAGAAAGTCCTTCCGCTCACACTTCGAAGAGCTAACGGATAATATGTATCGCCACCATATCACGGCAAACCGTACGTATTCCGCACAGATGGCCCTTGCGGACATGGCCCTCGTAAGATTCCGGCAGAGCGACTACGGTGCAGCAGCCTCCTATTTTCACCAAATTACTCCTTTCTACGGCAGCAAACAGTGGACTATCCTGGAGGGTGTGATGCTAGAGATGTACGCGCGATGCTTGAAGGAACTGCAACGGAGTGAGGAGTACGTTCGAATGTCCCTTCGACTCCTTGCGAAGTTTGCCTCCCATAAGCAGTCGAGCTTGTCGACGCGGCAGAAGACCCTTGATGCGTCATCTATATTCACAGAGGAGGAATTAGTATCTCAATATGTCGAGGAGTTGTTCGAGGCCTCCGGTGCGCTACAGAAAGATGTGACGGCCCCTTTGACTGATTTCTTCGCGGATTTGAATGTTAAACCCGCTATTATTCATTTTAAAGATAAAGACGGATTTCAGCTACAGCTTTCATTACGATTCCTACTAGGAAAGCGAATTGAGGTTGACTCGATGAAAATCCGGCTCGTCGGGACAGGAGGCAACCAAAGTAACGAACATTGGCTCGAGTTATCCTCTAAGACAACCATCAAGTCGTCGTCAACGAAAATCCTGGTCGATTCTTCGGTAAGTACTGTTTTTTATTGTTTCTTTTTCACTCGCGTAACCTCGTGACATTCAATAACCTCTCTCTATCTAGATGACACTGCAAGGGAAATACTACGTTGACCGGGTTGAACTGCGAGCCGGCAGCATTCTTTTCACATCCGGGGGCGGGAAACATTCAGTCCTTCCCATAGGTTTCAGAGAAGCAGTAGATACCGCCGAAGATAGTCGGCCATATATCTATTGCTACCCTCCGCCGAAGGGACTTCAAGCGAAAATCGTGTCGCCTCATCTTGTTAATCTTGAAGAGATGCGGACGCTTGAGTTAGAACTTGACAGTGGGTGGAATGATATCAAGAGCGCTACCCTTCGAGTGAGGCCCGCCACTGCAGGGCTCCGCCTGCGGATAGCTGAAGCCGAAGTAGTGGAAGGCGACATCGAGATCAGTGCCAACAGCGAGACAGGGCATATCGAGTTCTCTCAATTAGGACATAATTCTTTTGTCCGGTTCAGGATTCCGTACACGATGGAGGAACATCATCCGACGCTCTCCGCACGCGCAGAGGTTGGATATGAGACGACAAATGGACGATTCTCGTACTCCTCTCTACACAGCATCGTATCAGGCTTACCCATCAGTGTCAACGTACAAGATACTTTCAAAGACCAGATCCTCTTTTCTCGATTCACGGTCAGCCCGGCTATGATGATCCCTCTCCGCATCCTCAAATGTAGCATACCGAGTTCAGATGTCTATCAAGTCCAGTCTAATATCGATGGCTCCGTCGCAATGAACGTCTTTCCCAAACAGCCCGCCTCCTTACTCTACAAGATACAGCAGCGGGAGGAAGCCGTAATGTCACCTGGTTCGAGACGCTCACTCCGTCTCAGTGTGGATTTTACCTGCGTAGACGACGAATGTCTGAACGCGGTTGAGAGGACCTTCAAAGAAAGTATCGCAACCAGTGAATACCAGCAATACAGTACCCTCCTCACATCGCACATTGTCGATACGTTTCGCACACAGCTGTCGACTTCTGACATGGAAGTCATAGGGCTCGTCCGAGAGGTGGAAACACTACCCTATTCCAGTGTCAAGTGGGAAATGCTTCTCAGTGCGCTGAAGGAACCATTGGACGGTTTGAAAACTTGGCTCCAGGAATGGCACCAGGTAAGTTCACCCTGCGATACTTTTTGAAGGTTTTCATGCTTTGCATAATGGAACTTGTGCTGACGCGTACGCAGAATCACCCTATAATCAGCCTTCCAGAACAGCCATCAATCCCCCGCCGACACATCATCATCCCCGTGGACATTCCCGAGATCCAAGTGGTGCATTCTGCCGAGCTGCGACTCTGCAACCTTGCCGACCAACCCCCACACGCCGCAGTCGGGCAGATGATCGCAGCCGAGCTCAGCCTACGTCATACGCGCAGATGGTGTTCGCCCGAGAATCGCGAGAATGCGGGAGGCCCGCTCGAATTCTCGTACGAAATTCACGCGAACCCGGAGCTCTGGCTCGTGGGCGGTCGTCGACGAGGTAACTTCACCGCGGACGAGGGGGAGACCAAGACCTTTGCCGTGATGCTTCTTCCGCAGAAGGCGGGGCATCTTCTTCTCCCCGGACTCGAAATCAAGACCTTCGTGCCCGCATCCTCAGCTGCACCGTCGAAGCCCCCAGCGCCTGCCACCGGCCCCGCAGGAGCAGTGCCGGTCCTGCAAAGACGACAGATTGCATGTGAGGTCGACTACCGCAATCACGGGGAGACTGTCTTGGTATTGCCAGATCTACGAAGCACGACGGTCAGTCTCAGCCTGTCGGGAGGAAACCATGGCGCGGCATGGTTAATCGACTCCGAGCGAAGGGTTCTTGCATGATAACTACACCGAGTACATAAGACGAGTAAGTATAAGACTTAATCATAGACAATTAAGTCAGAATCAGTAAATAGAGATACCAAATCAGTAAATCCAAATAAGATCACTCCATCCATCACAAAAACGATCAATTAAAAAAATGAATAATACCACCAAGAACCAGCTCCGTGCGCACTCACGTGACTTGATAGAAGTACATACTATCATGACTACACCCATAACCACCAGATATACTTCACCAAATAACACTACTACCACGGTGATAACGGACCTTAATATAGAAGGACACTCATTCACGTACTTAGTTTAGATGATTGTGATCAATTCAATTCAAATTGTTACTACAGAGTCACCTCTGGGGCCAATAGACCGGTCTGAACTTGTTTATACTCTTTAGTTATTATCGCGTCGATTAGACCTCGCCCGCACAACACATCGTTTCTGAGACTCACCGGATTAACATAGTAGTGTGTGTCTGACATACATGGCCCGGTTAAGCCGTCTGCAATTACTGGGAATGGCAATTACTTTCCATCTGCTCTATGTCTATTCCATTTTCGAAGTTTACTTTGTAAGCCCTGTCGTCGGGGGCATGAAGGCCCTTCCCGGACCTCCTCCGGCTCAACGCGTTGTGCTCTTCGTCGGTATACTAAATGTCCCATAAGCTGATAGTAAATGGCAAGTTCAATCTCTTCTGGTAGTAGAACAAAATATAAGAAGTAGGTTTCCTACGGAGTACTGTTACAAAAGTAAGTAACCCTTGTCTAACATACATAGTTACGCAGATACCTTATCGAAGGGAAAGCGGACACGCTCGGCAGAATCAACCCAGAAAAAAAGAAATATGAGTGAAAAAAACACAAGTCCAGTACAGATAAAAGTAAACCGCAAAAAAAAAAGAAAAGAAAAGAAAAGGGAAAATTCAAAATACCGCAGCCACACAAAAATGCCCAATGGTTCATCCAGGTGGCCAGTAAACTAGATTTTTCCCTCAAAGACGTTCTAGCGCCAGCCGACAATCCTTTCAAGAGCCCCACCCGATCCAACCTCAACAAAAATTGGCGTCTCCCCCAACAGAACAAAGTGATGATCCTTACAGTTTACCACTTACTAGCCACATTGATTTTCTGTTCGGAACCATGTGGTTTTCTTTTTCTTTTTGTGTGGGTTCTTTTTGAGGGAGATGTTTTGGTATTGTCTTTCTTTCTTTCTTTTTCTTTTTCTTTTTCTTTTTCTTTTTCTTTTTCTTTTTCTTTTTCTTTTTCTTTTTCTTTTTCTTTTCTTTTTCTTTTCTTTTTTTTTTACTGTTTCTTTTAGTTGCTTGTTTGTTGGTTGAGATAATTCCTATTGCAAGAATAATGCTAAATAAACAAATTAATAACTTCCTATATATTAAAGAGGAAAAGTAATAAAAGAAATGAGGGGATAGGAATCACATGTAGAAAAATGAAAAGATAAGCTAAGTTCTACATACTTCGTAAAACTAAGTAAGGATCAAGTTGTCAACTACCACCTACCCGGTACGTACTAGTCCAAGAACCAGGATGAAGATCGATTCTACCAATCAGAGATTGTCTATCTACAGTTGATCAGTGGTTATTGTCATTGTCATTCTAAGAGCTTCTCTTATTTGTTTTTCTTTTTGTCTTTTTGGGGGTTGGTACTTTGTTTGATTCAGTTGTTTTGGTCCTTGGTTATAACATAAGTTATTGTCTCTGATGTGTGTGGATGTATGTATATGTATGTACTGTGTGCTGTGGAGGTACATTGAGAGGTGGTAGGACTTTTGCTTCTACATGTACCCTATACTCTACATGTACATATGTTGGTGAGTGCATAGCTCCAGGTTGGATGGGTATATAATGATAGGCTTTCATCAAGTCTGCGGATGAGATATATTTGACATGTTACACTTCCCTGATATTGACTTCTGGGAAGGTTTGAGGATCCTTGACTTGGTTTTATCCGACAGGATTGAGTTCATCACATGGCAGTTTACTTTCTCTCTCTCTCTCTCTCTCTCTCTCTCTCGATGAAGAAAGTTAGGGTTTACGTTTGAGATAAATATGATCAGGATGGCAAATGTCGCTTCGAAATGAATCCCAATCCAATGGATTCATGAACTCATGGAGCATGTGAGGCGAGTCATGATTGAATAAGGTAGGGAATGGAAGGTCCATCTGGACCTCCACTTCCTTTCGACGACTTAAGATCCGAATCATCTCCGACCTCCACCGACCATGAACGACGGTGCCAATTAGCGAGAGGCCAATTGCCATTGCACATGATACCTCGGGATGACAGCGTCTCGACTTGCCTGCCTTAGTAACTCTAAAAGGTTAATTTGACCGGGAACGAACACCAGCGAGCGCGCGAGAGGAGTGGACTGATGATCGGACGAAGATTGTTGAGGAGCCAAGAGCGATTGCAGTCTCGGAGTGGATCCCACGGTATGCAGGCAGGAGAAGGCGGTAAGCGCTCCCCAGCTTCTTTGGTGTGTCCCCCTGGCATTCGGCGCGTAATGCGAATACCCCCCGCCGTGTATTTTTCAGTCTGGGAGGGCTGAACGCCACATGGCCCTGAGACCATGTTCTCGATCCAGATAAGCAAATAATGATTCTATTCTTGGTGTGATGTTACTCACGGCCAGTACTCGATGGACGATTGCAAATGCTCAGGTGGTTACCAGACCAGGCCAGTTTATTAGTAGAAATGACGAGAGATGCCTTCAGCTCTCAGCCAGCCCTGCTCAGCAAACACTTGGACGCGGTGGGCGTCCTGAGCGGCCATTCGTCGCGGGAGGAACTCGCGTTCATATGCATGCACGACGAGAAGTTAGCCGTAGCTGAACCATGCACCTGATGTGCCTGACCCTCGGCAGAGCGCGGTTTACGGAGGGGAGGATGTCAGGGAACAGGCTAATTTGTCTGACGATCGAGTCCTGGTTGTACAGGCTCAGGTTCAGTTCAGTTGTCTGGAGGCGAATTAAAGACGGGATGCTGTCAGCAAACTTTAATATCGGTATTGCCAAATACCACTATGGGTAAACAAATCCAGGAGTCCTGGCCAATCATGGAACCCCAACGGTACACAAAATTACCCTCTGCTGCACAGCTCCATACGGCGTCGATCTCCCCAAAAGACGAGAATTACCAGATGGAAAGGGACCGCCATCCAGAACAATGTTTGGTTCCTTTCCACTCGGGTGCCTTACCTTATTGTGATTTTTTTTTTTCTTTCTTTCTTTCCTTTTTTTCCCATTTGGATTTTCTTCAATCCATTGTGATTGGTTTGTATTTTTTTTTCTTCTTTGCTTGGGGCGGCCTCCTTCCTTTCCTTCCCTTCCCACGCCTTTTCCCCGGGCCGATGTCCTTCAGCTGATTCTTAATCTTGAACTTCTTTTTTTTTTTTTTCCCTTTTCTTCTTTTTCTCGCCTCTGTTCAGCATTCTTCAGCTCGTCTAATACCTTACCCCCCCCTCCTTAATCCCGGCCAGGGCCATTCCGGAGTGGTGCTGAACATCACCCCATACCCACTCGTCCCTATATCAGCTGCCAGGGAGCTCTCATCCTTCAGGATCCTTTGAGATCGTGTCACCTCTAACGCCCTTGGAGTGACCCATTGGTATGTCCACAGCATAACCTTTTGCCTGCAGAAGCACATCTACCATCCCTTCCCTCCATTCGTTCAGACCATGTGCCAATGTACCATGTACTGATAAAGAATCACCAGATATAGCAACCTCGGGACCCCTCGTTGGATACGCCAGACGTCAAAAGACAAAGATGTCTTCCACAGCTATCCCCAAGCGCATGGCGCTGAACCGCAACCCGGGCACGGATTCCTCCGTCCCCAGCGTCTCGGTGTCTCCATTTGACAGCCCTCGTCATTCTCCGTCCTCGACTTCCCTTTCGTCGCTGGCGTCCGAGTCCGAGAACAAGGGCAAGATGTTGGACACCTATGGAAATGAGTTCAAGATTCCCGACTACACCATCAAGCAGATCCGTGATGCCATCCCCGCTCACTGCTACGAGCGGAAAGCTCTCACTAGCTTGTACTATGTCTTCCGTGATATTGCCATGTTGGGATCCATCTTCTATGTCTTCCACAACTATGTCACGCCGGAGACCGTTCCTTCTTTCCCGGCTCGCGTTGCTCTGTGGACCATTTACACCATCGTCCAGGGTCTGATCGCTACCGGTGTTTGGGTTTTGGCCCACGAGTGCGGTCACCAGGCTTTCTCCCCCTCTAAGGTTCTGAACGACACTGTTGGCTGGATCTGCCACTCCGCCCTGCTGGTGCCGTACTTCTCCTGGAAGATCTCCCACGGCAAGCACCACAAGGCTACTGGTAACATCGCTCGTGACATGGTGTTCGTCCCCAAGACCCGCGATGAGTATGCTTCCCGCGTCGGCAAGACCATTCACGAGCTGAGCGAGTTGATGGAGGAGACCCCCATCGCCACTGCCATCAACCTCATTCTCCAGCAGCTCTTTGGATGGCCCATGTACCTCCTGACCAACGTTACCGGTCACAACAACCACGAGCGCCAGCCCGAGGGTCGTGGAAAGGGAAAGCGCAACGGCTACTTCGGCGGTGTCAACCACTTCAACCCTAGCAGCCCTCTGTACGAGGCCAAGGATGCTAAGCTGATCGTCCTGAGTGACTTGGGTCTCGCCATCACTGGATCCGTCCTCTATTACATCGGCTCAACCTATGGCTGGCTCAACCTCCTGGTGTGGTATGGAATTCCCTACCTCTGGGTGAACCACTGGCTAGGTAAGATTTTTCTCGACACTTCCATGACCTAGCGAGACATGTGCTAACAATTGCCAAACAGTTGCCATCACTTACCTCCAGCACACCGACCCCACTCTCCCTCACTACCAGCCTGAGGTGTGGAGCTTCGCTCGTGGAGCCGCTGCCACCATTGACCGTGACTTCGGCTTCGTTGGCCGTCACATCTTGCACGGTATCATTGAGACCCACGTCCTGCACCACTACGTCAGCACCATCCCCTTCTACCACGCCGATGAGGCCAGCGAGGCCATCCAGAAGGTCATGGGCTCGCACTACCGCACAGAGGCCCACACTGGCTGGACTGGATTCTTCAAGGCTCTCTGGACCAGCGCCCGTGTCTGCCACTGGGTCGAGCCGACCGAGGGTGTCAAGGGCGAGGGCGAAGGTGTGCTCTTCTACCGTAATACCAACGGCGTCGGAGTTCCTCCGGCCAAGCTTTCCAAATAGATTATGCGTTTGTTGATATAGAACGAGTTTATTTTGAAATTTCCCGCGTGGTGCTCGCAGGATCGAGTGGCCACGATTTGGACACTCATCACGTCACGGCATAGAGCAGCTGCGAGTTAATTGAATCAACTTGAAGGCGTATATGGGGCATGAGATCTTGGTGAAATCACATGGTTGAGCTTTTTTATTGCGATTAATGTGGGGCGTCTGTTTTCTTCTTGGTGTATGTTCGACCTAGACCATCTCTGTTGTCCTTCCCGGCAAACATTTTTGTCATTTTTTTCCAGCGAAAGAGCCTTTGGTTTCTCATCCAAGACCTCAGTCGAACAAAAAGTTCATCTCCATTGCTCGTCACGGTTTAGACGTGAGCAACCCGTTGTTATGGGTTGATGGGGCAATTCCTGCCCATGAGACTCGAATATCTAGACCTCTTATGAAATCTATCTGTGCAGTGAATCTCTGGATATGGATCTGCGTAGTTGTAAAACGTAAACCAGGATGTTGAAGAGCCGAGAATAAGAGTAAAAAGAGAGAGGAAAAGCAACGATTTAAGATTTCTGGAACTGCGGGGGATTTTAGCTTCCGCGACCCGCCGAAAAAGGCACTAAAGCCAGACCCATACCCTACTTTCTGGAGTCACCTAGGCAGAAACATACTAAAAGCTCGAGCTTTATATGTACTGTACTGTATTCGGATCCTTTACTCCACTCCGTACGTCAAATTACACCCTACGTAGTGTAAGACCAAGGGGAAGGGTGGCATAATGAGGGTATATAGGAGAAAGGAGAAAGAAGCCTAACTCTATTCACAGCTCTTCAAACCTCCTTTCCAGATCGTAAAGCTGACTTCATCTTGGATTTGGCTTTGCTCCTTCACTGACCCTGCGCTCCAAGGCGCAAATACGAGCTTCATAGTGCGCCGGACAGGGCGCTCGGGTGTCTGAGACGAGGGTGGTGGTAGCTGAGAGCTACTCGGTTTGTTCTCAGAGACTGGAACGGGGACAGGAACAGGAACAGGAACAGTCTCAGAACTAGCTTCCGCTTCTGCGTCTTTCTCTTCGGCGACAGGTCCTGTTAGAGGGTCTGGCCGAGGCTTCTCTCGTTCGCTAGGGGAACCAGGTACCTCTGGTTCTGGGTGTACTTTCGCTGTCGACGGGATAGGGGTACTCTCTGGAAGAAGAGGATCTGTGGCTGTTTGCTGCTCTTTCTTTAAGGCGATTCGGCATGCGATTTGCGTCGACCAGACAAGACCGAGGGCTGGTGTCTTCTGCGACGGTCTTTGGAAGCCTGGGAATGAACTTGGGGGGAATGACTGCGGTGAGTCGCCCCATCCGGTAAAGAATCGCTGTTGATGCTGCAGACTGAGGATCTCACTGCGCACCGGATTTCCCACTAGGTATGAGCCGTCGAAAGGCTGTTGTTGCGGGTCTTCTTCGGCGGTATACGGCGAAGATGGGAATGGAGAAGGAGAAGACGGAAGCATGACGTTATGTTGGGATAATTCGACGTTTCCGGACTCAGTTGCCCGGACCCTTGGTAAGGTGGACGCAGTGCCTGGTTCGCGAGCGGATGGGGGTGGTTGTGGTTGAGTCGAAGGGGGTCCGTTTCCTGATACACCACCTCCTATCCTTGGGAATGCTGGAGGGCCGTCCAGGGCATCGAATCGATCGGAGACTTGGTTTGCGACCACTATTGCGATGTCCTCTTGTACCGCAAGGTTGCGTAGCATTTGTCCCAGCTTGGTGAGCTCCCCTGACCGAGTCGACAGGCCTAGAATATTGTGGGCGGTATGCTCTGCTCTGTAGTTCGAGGTTATGGAATCGATGACAACGAGGCCGACGTTGTAGCGTTGAATCGCGACGGGGAGTTGATAGTTGAGAATGTGGTCTTGAGACTCGAGGTCCATAGCATTGATGGATAGGATATTCTCCAACGTCGGGGCACGATCGCGAGGCAGGGTCGAGAGGTAGGGGTGGGAATCAATAAGCTGGGAGAGCCGCGGCGTCGACAAGGGAGCCTCTGTAGAGATGTAGACGGCATTCTTCCCCAGGCCCTGGGGTGAAGGAAGCTGGACGGCCAGCAACAGAGAGAGGAGAAATTGTGTCTTACCACTCCCACTGACGATGCCATACCGGTCAGTCCCATTTCAGAAGCTACTGCCCATGTAGATGCACGCACGTACCTCTCGCCAGTCACCTCCGTCACATAGCCAGTTGGTACCCCGCCGCCCAACAGCTCATCTAAAGCGGTGTCCAGAGTGCTGATCGCGCTCCATTGCGACAAGTCTAGCTTTGTCGTAGGCCCCAGGGTAATCGGCAGGTCGTCATTGATACTGGAGCTCGGCTCGGCAGACGCAGGCTCATCGATATCTTTGAAACCGATATCATGGTGGAGCGCCTTGATGATGCTGGCGCACAACCGACGAACATCGGCTGGAGGCACGTGGGCGCGTTTCGCGATCTCAAGCGTATCGAGAGTAATGAGATCGACCGTAGTTATCTTGCTTCTCTCCAAAGGCGGAAGTATATGCGCATACGGTTTGGTATGGAAGTCCGGGAGGACTGATAACAGATCCATATGCGTGGAGGTCAAGGCGATACTCAAGATTGTTGTCCATGTGGAAAAGACGCGGGAAGACCTGCGCTTGAGCCGACTGGCCAATCAGGTGAGGCTATTTATAGATCATCAGTGACTGAGAGAAACTTATACGAAATTATACTGATTAGATCTACTACAGCTAATTTCCTGCATGGTGTACATTTCTGCATCGGTTCATTATCTTCGACAGCTGAGGGCCAGCAATAGTTTTACCTACAATTCACCACCTCTCCGGTACCCATAGCCCTAAGTACCCTCTCTTCCATCAGCTCTAAGAAAACAAAACAAAAAGCTAAAATTGAATACCAGATCATAGGGGAACCAGGTCCATCGATGTAGAGATCAGGATCCACTAATATCTTATGGAGTATTACAGGCCCTCCTCTGGAGGCCCATATCAATAACTCTGCCTCAGGCACTGTGTCAAGACCAACACCCCCGACCACGTCTCCCGACAACCATCACCACATGTATAATAGACCAGATTACCGGAGAAGAAGATAGGAAAATACTAATTGTGGTAGCCCGTATTGATTTTATGGACAAGGCTATATCATTTTCCTCGTATACTAACCCAAAATCTTTCCTTCCAAGGTATGGCTTTTTCGGTTATGCCTCCCCCTGACGCTCAACTGGCAGGTATTCTTGGAGGAACTGCTTATAATCCTGTATAGCTTGTTTGAATGGTTCACCATAGTAGATTTCAAAATGGCCAGCGTCATACCACTTAATCACTCCTTGAGGGGCTGTTTTCGCATATGCCAAAGTTGCGCCTGCGGGTGCAACTGAGTCTTTACCACATATACCAAAAAGGATGGGACATTCAATATTAGATGCATAAGAGCCAGGTCGCAGGAGAGGAAACTTCAAAGTCAGACGAGCAGGGACTTTTTGCTGAAACGGATGTCCTTCAGGGATAAGTAACGGAAATGTACTGAGCACATCTGGAGCGTTCATCAGAGCCGCTGTCGTGGATTTTAGCTTCCTTGGTATTATTTTCCGAGGATAAACGGTCTTCACTTACCCTCACCTGGCTTTCCGGTCAGTGGTACAGTTATTGGCTTTTTGTCCGAGCCAAAGAGAATGTCTAACAGACCAAGCCCTGCAAGCCTCGGGGCAGCCGCCATCCCTGTACAAAGAGTGCTCTGCCAACCAGAAGTAAAGGGACATTGGGAGACGGCTGCTTTGAGTTTCTTATCAGTAGCGGCCAGCTGAATGACATGGCCCCCGCTGAAAGATGTTCCAAAAAGGCCGACTTGGTTCGGATCGACGTTCTCCAACTGACGCGTATATTTGATCGCAGATTTCCAGTCCTCTTGCTGTTGATTCCAGTCAATCAGACCTCTTGGCAGACCCTCAGATCCACCGGTGCAACGGTAGTCGAAGACAACACATGTGTATCCCATCTGATTGAAACTGTCGGCATATACATCGAGCTTTAGCTCTTTCGTTCCACCCAGGCCGTGGGCTAAGACAATGGCTGGCCCGGGGTTTGATGCTGTGGATTTCTGAGACGAGTAAAGCCATCCACACATAAAGTCCTCGGAGGACGAAGCAATCTTGATGTCCACACGACGTTCAATCCCTGCAGTAGCCATATTCAGTTTTGTAATATTGTTTTATCTTCCACCTTCTCATATTTTAGAAGCGAGACGGCGGCTTTTACATTTTTCTGTCCAGTAGCTTATGAATCTTGAGTGCTCGCTCGGTGTATCACTAAATCATCGCCTCGGCTCCAGCTAGGAAAAGGATACATTGGATCTTCTCCAGGGCCCTTAGTGACGCTTTAAGTCCCTAAACGTTCACTAGCTGCGGTGGAATGGATCTTGCGAGCTGTGTGGGGCGAGGATCTCGCAAGCCATTCCCACTTGATCAACCTTGCGGCGTAACATCCGTCCGACTTGCGAGTCGGGCCGATTGTTGCTGTGGAGGGCTCCCGATCTTGGACCTAAGAATACCGTCTCCGGACGGTCTACTCCATATCTTTGCCCCTATTGTTAGGACTTGCCTAAGCCACATCAGGAATACCAGCCTAGAACAGCTTCACGCATAGACATCGCTGTGGATTTATGTTGGAATATATCAATCAGGTAAAGGACCTTTGTTCCGACCGACTCACGATCTTCGCGACTGTCCCTGAGACACTAGCATTCGACGAACATGATCATAGCTATCGTAAAATACGCGAGATTCAAGGTCTCTTTTTGGGTATTTCTTGTTCCAGCACTCTCTGGTAACAGTTTGGTACTCAAGTGGGAATTGTTAAGGCAAAAACTTTCTATTTCTTGAGTAGCCGTTAAACGGGAATGATGAGGTGGATGGGCCTCGTTTCTGAACAGTTTAAGGTCTGACACAGTCGAATAAGCCGGCACCAGGTCAAGAGCATGTCAAGAAATACGCTTCTCCATTAGTACGATGAGTCCTTTCTCAGTGTCCGATGCCTACGGGCCTCTCAAACTGACATACAGCCAAGGTACTGTGAGCGAATAAAAAGAAGTCGTCGTTCGTATGGCCGACGAGCATATATTCAATTGGACTCTGGAAAGTCATCATTGTGTGGGGAGCACCGGCAGTTGAAGTCTCAAGTCGATCATCCGTCAGAGTCTGCCAAGGACAAACCACTTGACACGATCGTCGAATGACTCGGATGATCCTCTAAATTTTCAGGGCATCATTGAAGCAAAGATAAACATAAGAGACCCCGGTCCTAGTCAAGCTCTTAAGGCGCCTGCCGTACTCTGCTCGGGTGTCAGTCCCATTTCAGGACATAGCTCTTGTAGAGCCTATCTTCCCAGGTATCCTCTAGAGTAGTCTCCAACGAATCTTCCCAGTCGATAACATAGCTAATGGATGGACACTGTAAGTAAGCTGCACGAATTACCTAATGGGAAACGCTGTATACTTACCATTTCCCGGCTCGATCGTCCCAAATGAGGTTTCGGGTCCCTTCGTCGAGATGTACTCTGCCACATGCCATACACTCACTGCAAAAATGTATTAAATACCACTCTACAAGAAAATAGGGCCGTCAGAAACTTACAGGTATGCCTCCTTAAAATGCTTTTAGAAGCCGATCCCTCTCCTCCTGAGCCATGGGTTGCCAATAAGGTAGCGGTCTGACCCCTAGCATTCGCTCCATTAGGATATATTCTATATATCCCCCAGGGACCCAGTCGATGTTGCTTTGTGTTTCACGCTTCCAACCTAGCAAAGCTGGGCTTGATGAACAGCCTGCTTGTGTTAAACGTCGCAGGGCATCTATTTCAAGCCGAGTGGTTTCGCCTATATCGTGTATGGCTTGTTTTGCTCTCTCTTCAGAGGAGCTAAAATATGTTCCCATATATGGGATTCTATGTCAAGTTTTAGGAGCGTTTGGCCAGAGTAAACACACAAACTCATGCATATAGATATACGAGAAGAACCTACTGCAGCCGAACTTTGACTACGGCCTTTTTGTCATGGGTATCGGAGCAAAGAAAAACACCACGTCCTTCAGCCCTCCAGTCCCTCTTCTTCACCTCCCATTCAAGGTGCAAAATCTCGCGTTCACAGATTTTTCAAACAATCCTCCATCTTGACGGGATAGGTTCATCAAACATTATCTCGCGTCCTGTCCACTTGTGATCATCGAACCACGTAATTCCTGAACTAGGCGGTCCACCCATAATTGCTGGATGGGCATAAAAAAGAAAGGATCAATGAACGTAAACACTGCCCTACGCAGGCAACTAAAGGACAGAGAGAGTTGCGGAGTCTGGATCCACTGTTTGATATAGCCAGGAATGGGTGCCATGCTAGCAAGTTTGGCGTCTGCGCACGGACTGCACGTGGTTTCTGTTATTAATAGAGGCCTTACTCCAAAGGCGCCTAAATCGCTTCAATACAATCCATATATTAGTGCTAAGGATCACAGGATGCCATTGCTCCGTTCAAATTCATACACTGGGCATTCCTTGTGATTTATTGCTCCCGCGCTTAGAATGACTCCTCTGTTAGTGTCTTTAATAGTATGCTTCCGTGTAAAGAAACGCTAAATTGGGGAATACGTGCTTGAGAGGTATTAACATATGACAGCACCAACAGCGAGATATAAGCGACTAATGTTTTATAATTCTGTGACCACTGCGAATAGTTTCTGGCAACACTAAGCCTTTAAAAACAGAAATATACATGGAAAGAGGGAAGTAGAATCGTGAATACAAAAACTTAGTTGTATAACCCTCTCTTGTGTCTAAATCTTCAGGGTGTAAGGCTATCCTATGTAGAACAGTATATCAATTATTAATATGAGTCTCTTACTTTTCTTCTTCTTGTCCCTTTTCTACTTGTAGGGTATCTTCATATATTAAGGTACATATGTCTTGTACTAACCTTTTGGATGATTGGATATAATTTTCTGATACATATGTATTGAGAGACTAACTTAGACATAGGTCAGCTTTGTATTCAGAGCAAAGTAGCCTCTTTTGCAGCAGCATAGTCGCTGATATCGACCTCGTTTGGACTCAACCAGATAACCACCCCTGGAGTTCTCGTGCCCTATCCAATCCTGTTGTACATACGTATGCAATTTCCCGGCAATCGTAACGAACTGACCATATTTCTGGTGTAGTGAGTGGACATATTTGGCCCCCGGTTGCCGGTCAACCAGCGGTACTTCAAAAGAAGATCAGTGTAATTTGATATCCCATGTCCCTGGTAGTGAAGAGAGATGAGCCCTTAATTGGTGCATTACATATTAATCTTTTTTTTGCTGCTTACGTTCTTGAGGATTTACAGTCACTATCGTAGGGATCCATCTTCCTGGTAGAATGGTTTTAACTGCTATTTCAGCAGACTGTTCATATGGCTTTCAAGGACCTGTCTAATCTATTAAATCATCTGTCTGTGGGTTAAAGAAGAGAAGCTAAAAGAGAAAGAAAAGTGAAGGGAGGGAATATGTCAAAATGACAGGATGAAGCAAAACCACCAGATCACAGACTCCCAAAACATCTGCTATCATACGTCGGATTTCATAAAGGACATGTCACAATTCTAAAAGAAAGAAAGACGGAGGATAATTCGGAAGTCAAAGTCCCAAGAGCCTCCCCCACGTCTTTCCCTTTCTTTATTAGGCACCATCAAAGACCAGAAGGCTTTGAATATTGACTCCGCCAAAGCCAAGCTGCCGCAAAAGTCCTCGGCCCCGGTGAACAGGGAATTCAGCCACCACCATAACGGTAATATTCTTTGTACTGATGCCAGCTTTATTTAAGAGCTGCAGCACCGCGCATAGTGTGTTCCCCGTGGCAAGCACATCGTCCACTACCACCACTGACGCGTCTCGGGGGATCAAATCCCGAGCCATCTCGAACCCCTTCTCGCTCACACCGTTGGATGATGAAGCCGAGACATGCGATGGTGACTTGGCAGCAGAAATAGTGGGTGGGGGAAGCTTACCCTCGTCGCGAATAAGTGCCAAGGGTACATTAACCCGCGAGGCTAACGCGGACGCATAGACAAAGCCACCGGCCTCGCAAGACGCTACAACATCGACTTTGGCCCAATCACTGGCAAAGTGAGACTGCAGCAGAGATGCGCAGAGAGACAACCCACCTGGCTGCTGGGAAATGTCGAGCACATGGCGGAACTCAATGCCCGAGCGTGGAAAGTCGGGCACCTGGCGCACCATATTGGCCAGTCGTTGCAGGTCCTCGTGGCAGAAGGGAAGCAGGTAGTGTTCGGCAAACTTTTTTGCCGCCTTCTCTCCGGTCGTATCATTGTGGAAGATGAGATCGGGGCGGTAGTCCAGGGCCGTCAGATTCGACTTGCCATTGGCGCTATTCTTGTTTTCGTTACCATCGTCATCACCGCCGTGGCACCCTCCGCGAGCCTGCCGCGTCTCTTCGCTAGCTTGAATGCAAACTTCGAGCAACCTGACGTCTGGCACCAGATGCGAAAAGGTTGCCACCGGCGCCTCATCTCTCATGCCGGTGATTAGCAGCACGTCTACATCTGTAGCGCTGTCCACCACATTCAGGAAATGCTCCTCTGGCAGCCGAGGTCCTGGAAGAATTTGGTCAATGCTGGCCGGTGTTGCTCCTTGTAGGCACGGTCCGAAAGCAGACAGGTCAGATCGGCACCAGTGGCCGTCGCGTACTCTCGCTTAGTCGCATCGCTAATGCTAACCGCGCGTGCCGTGAGGTTCTTCTGGTTGAATGCGAGGAACTCGGAAACCCAGATGTCGGCACAATAGTCCTTGCCAGCGCAACTGTCGCCGGTGACAAGAATGATGAGTCTTTGTTTCATCGGCACTTTTGGGAGCGGGCAGGCGTAAGCCAGCACATTATGCGGGTCCGAACAGTGCTTGAGACGGGCCAGGCGCGGCCGGTTTGGGCCAAAAGCCTTAGTCGCCAGGATGTCGTCTCTGGGGTCTGGCCCGAGGTCTGCGCCGTAAACTCCGCTACTCAGGGGCAACAAATCCCTGGCGACTTTGTATACCCACCGCTCAGCAGCATGGGCGATCTCAGTCCCATCTTGGTCGCGGGGCCACACACCAGTTATCACGCAGGCGTAGTCCCAGTCTCGACAACCGAAAGCAGTGGCATCGGCCGCCACGTCACTGACTGCACCGCCGCCGTGTAGCAGATGGAGATAGCAGAATGGCGTGGGACGAGTCTCAACGGCCGTCATTAAGATATCGGCGATGTTTACTGCTCCAATACTTTCTAAGAAAATACATCGCTTGAACGCAGAGGTTTTGCAGCCGCCGTGCCCGCCGTGCATCTGGGACATGTACATCTCAGCCTCGAACAAACCGACGCCATCCACGACATCGAATTTGCCTTCCCCTCCCAATATTGTGTCTACGTCCACAGGCGCGGGCGTGGGTGTGGACGTATCCGAGATAAGCCTAGTCGTGGAAGCCTCGAACATGGTCACGCCAAGACGCAGCTTGCCGAATTCCCAGTACAGGTACGCATCTGCAGAACAGTTCCCCGGGAGTTTGCTGGCGATGAGATTATCAACATTGTTCAGCTTGCGCTGCGCCTCGAGGTTGTCATTCAGCGGGAGAACCCAGTTTCGAACCAAGTGGACTGGAGCCACGTATGCCTTGAAGGTAACACTGACTACGATACCAAAGTTGGTCCCAGCACCTTTGATTGCCCATAAAAGATCGATTTCATTTTTTGGGCGCACGGCACCGGCCGGGCAGTGTTGGCTTGGTACATGGCCGATACAGAGAACCTCGCCAGAGTCGACGCTGACCACCACGGCACCGATGATGGCATCACACGTGAGCCCATATAACCTAGCCAGGTGCCCGATGCCGCCCTGTAACCATAGTCCTGCGCCTACGCTTGGGCGGGCCCCCAAGGGCACTGTCAGGCCAGCCGCCATGGTTTTGCGGACGATATCCCCCGCCTTGCAGCCCGTCCCAACGACAACCATGGAGTTGGAATCGGAGCTAGATTCTCCTCCATCTTTCCCAGCCGGGACAATGTGTATTTGGTCAAAGGCACTCATGTCGACCGAGACGACGTTAGGCCATAGACACTGGCCGCTGTGGCCTCCGCCAACGACGGTCAGACCGACCTCGTGCTTCCGAGCCCATTGAACGCACTGCTGGACATGCCGGACATCTGTGGGTCTTACAATGGAAGCGGAGCCGTGGAGGCAAGCCTCCCGGTTCTTAATCGTCTTATCCTTCACCAACGGGACCTGCGCCGTCAACTGCGGCAACGTGGTCGCATGCTTGGTGAAGGCCACCATGACGTTGGGAGATCTGAACAAGAGATGGTCTGGGTAGGCTTCTTTACGATGGCCCAAGGCGCGGCACACTTTACGCCACTCGAATTGAGTTGCCCTGTCAGCCTCTGTATCCTGCATGACAAACCCTGCGACGAACGCAGCGAAGTTGTCCAGCTCTTCGTCGTCAATTAGCACGCGAACAACCCCGGTAGGGAAGCATGCTGTTCGATGGCACACTAATCCGTTGAGGCGCAGGGTCCCGTCGCGATGAAAAACCACCACCATTCCGCCTTGGGGCTCCTCGACAAGTATTTCCAGTGCCTGTTCGATGAACTTGTCTTTGGGTTTCATGCCGTACATGCTGTGGCAAAATAAGACAAGATCGAACTTTTCGTCACTACTACTCGTACTGGTACTGGTACCGTTCCCTATGTTGCTGTTCAGAACGAATGGAGCTCGATGTATATCAGGCGGGCTTGCCAGACCGGGAAGCGGGGACTCTGTCTCCAAAGGGCAGAGCCATTCCTCCACCCTTGTAGCGAACAGCCCATTAGGCTCAAAGGCAGCGTATCTTTTGATCTTCTGTCTTAGACTGTGTGGTAGATACCCGAGCACGCTCTTGGGGCCTGGTCCAATCTCGAGGACCGAGATATGAATACGCGAGTTGAAGAGAGGAGCTAGCAGCTGAGATAGTTGAGGACTAATGAAGTCTTGGTATGCTGACTCGTGAGCGAAGATATCGAAGCCAGCGCTGTATTGTGTGTCGGACAACTGCTGCTTCGAAGATGACGGCGTAGTTGTGACTTGTTGCCTAAGGGCCTCCTTCAGGGAATGGAGGGTAGCCATGTCAGTTCAGTATGAGTATGCGGACGGCGAAAACAGGGGGCTTGAAGTGAAACTCACAGCGATGTCCGTTATGCGACTTGCAAAGCCACGTGAGCCTCTTGGTGTGGGGTGAGGCTGGGTCATCCCTCAGCTGAAAGATGGAGATTAGCGATAACTAGTGCGGAGGAGTAGAAGTTATGCTCTCCAGTAGATTGCCGCGAATCTGCCAATACCATCCCTCAGCTGCACTGATCGCTCCCCCACCTTCTCATTTCTATATACATTATTTAGTAAGAGGGTCTGGGTATAGTTATTAAACAGACATAATCTCTAGTTAGTTCAGAGGAATAAGACCACCTTCGTTTCCCATAATTTCTTCAGTAGCTTTGTGTATTCCCTTTATTATTTTTCGGAGAACGTTACTCCAGTTAACCCAATCTAAGTATAAGGGCTTCTGGCCGGTGATATCGCTATCTTAAGTTACTGGGGCATACTACTACTACTACTACTAATAGTGATATCCATGTGAGTACCGATGGTGATAGTAACGCAGGTACGTATATCCTGATTTCAACATAATTCCAGTCACTGAGACGAAGCCAGAAAATGCTGCTGCCCAAGACCTCGACGGGCACACAAAGATATCTCGACAGGCTAGAATGGCCGCCAGTATACGAAACATCTTGGAAGACATGGGAGAAGACCCCAATCGGGAGGGCCTCCTCAAAACCCCTGAACGATATGCCAAGGCCATGCTCTTCTTCACCAAAGGGTATGAGGAATATGCATACGATATCGGAAAAGATGCCATCTTCAATGTAAACCACACTGAAAGCGTTTAGGCTCGCGATATTGAAGTGTTCAGTATGTGTGAGCATCATCTAATTCCATTTGTAGGCAAGGTATGAAATCTTTCTGTTAATACAGGTTGAATGCACCATAATTTGACAATGCGACACAGGTTCATATTGCATATATCCCCAATGGTCGAGTATTGGGGCTGTCTAAGTTAGCTCGAATTGCAGATATCTATGCGCGCAGGCTACAAGTTCAAGAGCGTCTCACAAAGCAGATCGCTCAGGCCATCGAAGATCTTCTACAGCCCCAAGGGGTCGCTGTCGTGATGGAGTCAGCCCATATGTGCATGATTATGAGAGGTATCTAGAAGAGCAGTGCTATGACGACGACGACGACGAGCTGCAGGACAGGCGTCTTCAATACAGACAGGGCAGCGGAAGAGGAGCTTCAGTTCCTCCTAAGGCTGAAACAAAATTGATAGAGGATCTATCTGCTTATGGGTGAGATTGGTCCTTAAGTTTATATACCAATAGCCCACTAGTGTGTGTCATGACCATCAAGGATTTGAAGGCGATATCGACCATTTGCCTGTGAGATATAGTTGGATTGAATAATGATTGAAGCAATTCAAAGTCTAGGTTGTGATATATGCAACCATTTCCACTCAGGCTAATTTCATAGTCTTGATTTATTAAGACCAATTGATAACCATGAAAATTGATGGGTTTTTCCTGCAAGAATAATATGGGGTAGTAAAGCCCATCCCGATGCATTTACCGTAACAATTATAGTAGGCCATTTAGCATTTGTAGGTTGGATTGTTCAAGCATGATAGCCATATGTTTCTGATCCACAGATTACCCTTGTTGATATAGTACTTATTTTGAATCCTTTTTCATCCATATGGGATATATCCTCGTTAAGAATACCCAATTTCTTGTATAGTGTATTCCACCAATGTAAACTAGTTGTTTGTTATTAATGGATCTTCACACTTTGCACGTCGATAGTCAAATTGAGAGGTCCATTTTGCTTGGAGTTTCTTTGCGTTGCATAAAATCAATGCACCCATGTATTACTAATACAGGCAAGTTGAGATGAAGATTGAGGCTTCAATCGAGCAGACAATAAAAGTTGGGAAAGAGAACCAACCCCCGATACTCCCTGCCCCACACCTGCGTTCCTATATATCAACTATCTATTCCTTAAGAGTTTACTCTTCAAGATAAGTCATCCTTGAGCATCTTCACGAGAAGTCATTCGATTCATGAGTATCTCTGGATTCTGTTAAATAAAAATTATAAGTACCCCTTCATTACAATTGGTCACTTCAATGTGTTCCTTTCATGGTGTACATGTTCGAGCCCTTCGCTTAACAAGTGTCAGTTACCACTGCCCGAATCCCGTGGCCTTCTCGGAGCTTCCGCGGATTCTCCGTCCGGAGATGTTCAAGTCTAGAATAAGCATACTATCCAGCAGGATTCCGCGCCCTAGTGGTCACCATCGGCTTGATCGAGCTCAGTCCTCGTTGTGGAAAGACCTAGAATGAGCTGGAAGTGCCATTTTCGCGGTACAGAACTATGGAGGCGGAATGTAGACGGTCTTAAGATATATCTCACGAGCTGCAGCACCTCCGTGTCTAAGGTTTTAGCACACGCAGTTGTTGATGGCCATTGTCAGGAGATTCTTATAACTAGTCTCATTCATTTTCCCTTTGAAATAAGGCTCATATTGGAGGTAGTGTGAAAGGTTTGGAGATGTTAAGATGGAATGCATCTCACTGTTTTGTTTATATATTTTTAGCACCCAAGGTTACTTCATAGAGCACAAGCAAACTAAGTATCATAGTTTGCTTTTCTCATTTACTTTATCCGTGGGAGCATTTTCATATAGCGTTCTATAACTATGTCTTACGCTATCTTTTCTCTTAGAGATTATTGATTGCCATTTTCTGATATACATGGGCCAAGATGGCTCAGGTAGTGGTCATGCCGAGATATGTCGAATATATTTTATCTTCAAGGCGAAACAGAAATATGGCTTTAGAAAACTATAAACTTATATATAGAATTTCCGAGACATAGTAGAAAA